ACTTCATTAGTTTTGATGTAAACAAAATATCAGGTGCATCGCATTGAAAATCTTTGAAATGATATTGCTTTCATTCACCCACAAAAAAGTGAATTTTGCTGAGTATAACTACGATTGAAGTTATTGCGTATATCTCGTTCCCATCAGAGAATTGAATATGTATTGAGCAATATGATAACCATCTCTACCTCAACTTTATCGACTTTGAAAAGGCCTTCGACAGCTTCGATCGAGAAGTAATTTGGCAGTTGCTTCAACACTACAAAGTACCACAAATCTTTATCAACTTCATTCAACAGCTATACGAAGATGCCACATGCCAAGTGATTCACAATGGAGAGATCATTGACACCTTTGAAGTGAAGATAGAAGTAAGACAAGGTTGCCGCCTACTATCACCGATGATCTTCCTGATTGTGGTCGACTGGATCATGCAGCAAACAGTGGAGAGCATGAAGATGAGCATAAGCAGTTTGACCGATGAAAAGACTCCAGAAGATTTGGATTTCGCCGATGATCATTTGTGTCTAATGTTGCACAAACTCGAAGATGTACAGACGAAAACTAACAAGTTGGCAGAAGAAGCTGCGACCTCAAATGAATGCACACAAAATAGAGGTGATGAAGATACCCAACCAACAACAGCATGAACAACAAGCACCAATCACAATGAATGGGAGAAACCTAAAGGAAGTTGTCTTTTTCACCTACCTAGGCAATATATGCCGATTTCAACACAGTAAATGTGTCATCCACATATTGCCACCGTATCTTGGGTGCAGGATTATACAATTGTAAAGCCATGTTTTCCCAACTATCCATAAATATATCTGCTACAATTGAAGATACTGATGATTCCATTTCTACTCCTTCTGTTTGTCTGTGTATTTTGTCCTGAAACTTGAAGACTGTGGAGGTCAGGCACAACTGTACGCCTATTATGATCTCATCAACTGATACCCTAGTTCTCTGATTAACTTCTGAGTAATATTCAGTTGACTTCTGACAGCCTCCAGTGCCATACTGATTGGTATTTCAGTACAAAGACTTGTTTTACGTCTAAACTAACCATTTGTTTTTACCCTACTCTATATGTACGTCTTTCAGTCTTAGTTTTGACTAGTTTAGGATTTGAACGGTTCCTAATAGGACATAACAACAATGCTAAGTACTTCGATAATTCATATTTTGAGGTATTTATGAAGTCAACTATCGGTCTAACGGGATAACCTGGTTTATGAACCATAATACTGCTAGGATTATTAGCTTTAGTCATTAAATTAAACCATTTAGACTCACCTGGAGATGGCTTTAGTCAGCGTATCAAATCGGCTGTAGATTTCTTCATTTGGTCCTGTTTGGATATGTTCATCAATTTTGTTGAAGTAATCCAATTTGTTCGTAACTACTGTAGCTTTGCCTTTATGAGACTTAACAATTACTACATTGATGTCATTCCGCAGATTATTCAGAGCTGATTTTTCAAGTTTTGTTAAGTTTCGCTGTTTCCGCTTTTGTCTTTACAGTGTTAACGTACACTGTGCTCTATTGTTATCTCCAATAAACCAGGCTAGTCTTCATGGGTACATGAATGGCTGAACGATTAAAAGAGACGAAATATCACGAGTACATGTCCACTTCTATCAAATGTAACCAGACTGGTAATAATCTTGCAACATGCACCCCTAGCAAGCTTTGGTGTCTCCGGTGATCTCATCACCTACAAACATCACTCGGATGAGAATTTAGATGTACTGAACACAAAGAAAGATGTGCATCTCTACACACTTTAATTAACACTTCCTAAGAAAGCTGTGTCAGAGACAACCAAAATGTTTGAACAGCTCGGTTATGTAGTATTTACTGAACAAAAGACGAAAAATGAATGTAACAAGTACATTTGCAAGTACTTTTTATCTATGATAGACATTTCTCAATGTAAAAGTATGGTAATATTCATTGATTACAAAACATTGAATAATTATTTTTTTAGCCTTTACGCAGTTTGAGAGAGTGTAACAAAAAACAATGAATGCAGTGTAGTTTACAAATTTACTCGTTATTGCTCATCATAATTAATTAGGAGTCAGTAGCTGCCTGAATTGCTTGTGTTAAAATCTGTGACACTGGTTTTTAATGACGCCTCAGGTTCGAATCACCAAGGAAATACCGGTTTACTTATATTTGCAGATATGCCTTACTGAAGCTTGCTAACAAGTATGATAACACACAAAGGCAAGGTATGATTATACAGAGATTGTAAATGATAACAGAATAAAATGTCTATTTATAAATAGTTGGGGAGACGATCGCCCAGTTCCAACAAATGATATTCAAGATTATTCTCAACAATCAGCAACGAAATGAAAATCAACAAATATTGTGTAAGATAGGTGACAGGAGTGGGTTGAAAACATGATATGAATACATCAACTGTCTTCAAAATAATCAATATACAATGAAACCATATTCTTTCACGCTTTGTGTAACTGATTGGAATCAAGTAACCCTCATTACAGAAGGAAACTATGACTGTGACCTTGCCCCGGTGGAAGATCATTTTGACCTAACAAAAAAGCCTTTTTTCCATATTTCACTAACCATTCACTTCAATTCAGTGTCTTTCCTTTACGAATCTTGTTATATTTTCATCAGTTTTCCATTCTGTATGTTGTTTATTTCAGTACTCGTGTTCATTTTGTTGAAATTATGCAACCTCAATCTCAACTACTGATAAATTAACGTTTTAATCCGTTATCACCTATAACTTCGTATGTCATCTTCGTATACTATCATATCTAAACAACTCTCATACTTGACCTATTCAACGGAAATGCAACAGTCAGTCAAGATCAACACGGAATTGATCATTACTGCGCAAAAGTTTAAGTGGTCACACCTCATGTAAACACATCAAGTGAGAATGCATCAAGATGAAAGACGAAGAAATAGGGAAGATATTAATCAAAGATGGTAGAAAGTCATGAAAAGAAAGCAAGAAGGAATGAGACAGTTATCTATTTCCGAATGATGAGTAGGATGAAGATAGTGTGTGAATGCATCTGCCCCAATTACATAACTTATGAACTATATCGCTTGCAGTCTCCAAACCCTGATTTTACCGACTTCAACCAGGGTGTCCAACAGTCAAGGACTTTGTGGACTGTTCCCGTGTTTTAGTTTGACTGCCTCAAACCATCTATTCAAAACTCACTTTGGCTTATGAAAATGAATGTCTTAATTGCAATAATGTTATGTATACCCTGGGCTGTCAGCAGCGAAAGATAAGCCTAAAAGTATCACAAGCTCCTTTTATTCTGCTAATTTGATTCTTAAACAACATACAGAATAAGAACAGCATTCGCAGGAGGAGATGACGTTATTTCATTTCATATGCTTTCCAACAATTGCATACAATCTGATTAAATAGGTGAATTAACACTACATTACTCCTAAACGTTTGATGAGAAGTACTGAGATGTCACTTGCTGTTTCACAAACCAGAGAGTAAACATTTCATATCACAAAATAAGAAAATTAAAACAATGAAACTCAGTCAAACTACAGACAAGCCAAATTTCCTTGATGTGTGAACGAAACGAGAGGAGGACAACACAGTAAGAATAAGCATTCGCCGTAAAAGTATTTGGAGTAGCCAAAAATTAAACTTCAGCAGCTTTTGTCCGGTTAGCTGCAAGAGAGGTTTAGTGAAGACGCTATAACGGAGAGCAGAAGAGCTGTAGTCTGAAGAAAAACTTGAAGTACAGCTTGGGTTGAGTCAAGAATGTATTGTCAATAGTGGGAATCTAATAAAGGATCACAACAGTAAGATGAAGAACATAGTACTGCGGTTCTAAGGTTACGTTAAGGTAGAAGCAACCAACAGGTAGGCGACAAGTGCCAAGCGTTATTATCGAATGTCGCGTTCAATTACATAATTTGAGTTTCGCCAGTTCCCTACTCCAACTCTAACTGACGTGTATGTGCATCAGCTAGTCCAAAATAAGATGGAGAGACGGTAATCCACCGGGATTGTTCAACATCTATGCCTCAGAGGCTGTGCCCTGTTTAGCACTGCGATAACACGTCATGCAGTCGATATAGAGTATCAAGTCAAAATTCTTCATGATATTGAACAGACAAGGAGAGTCACGCCTACTTTGAATCTCTGAAGTCGGTACCATTCGACAAATCTGGCTGAATGACTAGTTGATCAATAAACTAGTAGAACTTGTGGAGCTGTGAGTCACTGGTCTAAGCACCTCACTTTCAACCGATAGGTTACAAGGGTTCTAAAACTGCTCCACATAGCAAGGTTTTGGGAGTCAGATATCATGAGGCTTGAGATAAAAGATGTCGATTATTGCCTACTGTACAAACGTGCACAGGTTGTTAAGTGTATTTCAGTTCGATTAATCTGGTAATTAGTAACACTTCATCCCTTTATATTTTACACAATTACAATACCTTTATTTTATGCTCATCTGCATCAGCTATCGTTTCATCATTTATCTTTTATCTGACTACTTATACATGAGAACCACAGAAATGATGTTTAGTGATCCATGCAGAAAACATTAACTTGACGAAAAGCGAAACACCTCACCGGATAACAAAGCAATCTCTTCAATATACAATTACAACCATGCATAATTTACTACTTATAGAAAAATGGCATTAAAATGAACGCGCTAAACTGATCTATTTACATCAATATTCGGGGATAAATTTTTTTTCACAACACAATGAACATGTAGATCATAGAAATAAATTTAAAAAAGAGTACAATATATCAACAGCGCATACAACTGGAGTTGCTAATAGTAATTATCACTGAATAAGTGAAAACAACTAATATAAATCCATGATATAACTTACAAAAAAAAAGAGATTTCTCTGAGATAAGAAAAAGTAAATAACTAATCCATCATCATCCTATAAATATAAAGGGATATGCATAAAGGTATACTATTATACGATCACTTTACAAGTCGATTACATCAGTGTAATTTCTGTAATAGCTGATCACGTACTGAAGAACTGCTATACAAAGCTTTAATTAGACAGCGTAATTCAGTAGCAGTTATGTGAGCTTCAGTAGATAAGGGCCCTTTACCATTATCCCATAATATATCACGAATTTCTGCCATTGATGATGCTGATAGTACACTGATTACACCTTGCAAGCGTTGAAACTCTGGACAGCGACGAAATAAACTCCCAGTATCAGAATCCTGCTATATGATAATACAAATTAGAGAATTAATGAGGTTGAATATTACTGTGATCATAAATAATCTTATTTGTTTTGAAAATCATCAGTAAATTCAAAATATAAAACTGTTAATCTTGTTTCTTCTCTTATTACTGAAGTTCTTAACCGGTTTTTTATCTGAATGAAAGGTCGTATTCAACAGGTCTAAATTCTAAGGCATAAGAAGCAATAATCCAAAGTCTATGGTAATATGACCAATTTCCAGCCTCCACAAAGTCGCCAACTATTGTTTTCTGTCATCTAGACGAATTCAGCTTAATAGGCTATACATCTCCCTATACAACTGTTGAGGACCTTATGAGTTGATCCTAAGTCTGGATTTGGACACTCTTAGCCTTTTTTCCAAAGGAATGCTACCTTGGTTAGCAATGCATGTCAAAGAAGGTGGCAGATTGGTATATGCAGCACGTGTCTAAGCTTTCTCATAGAGTGAGAGTTCACAATCGCATCAAATAACTTCTCTCTTCTCCCCAAAACTCTACACCTGACTTCTGTATTACCGACGTGGTAACACCACGACACATGACCTATGCTATGAAGGCAACGGTGATCAAATACCCGGAGCCTTCTTTTTTCCTCTACTTTCAATGACCATGTTTCACTTCCATACAGTAGAACAAAGCGAACTGTAGTACATTATACTCGACCCTGAATAGACAACTGGATATTACGGCAGTACCACGGACAACATAAGTTGGCGAAAGCCAATCGAGCCTTTGTATTCATGCAGAAATTTTGTCGGCCAGCGACCTAATAGAGCTTATCCGACTTCCCAGACCAGGTAAATGAAGTGTTCGATGTCATCAATCACTTCACACCCAATTAGTAGATAAGGTACCAGGGCATACCAATCCGTTTGGGTGGCGAGAAACGCATCGCAAACGTTCTCAAATTGCCATTCAAGGTTTCCTGAAGACGGAATCTTGTCAGCTTCTTCACCTAACAGGACTATGTCGTCAGTGTAGTCTAGACTTATCAGGCACGCTCCTGTGATGGAATCGATCCATGTGAAGCTAAAATGACGGAAGACCTCAATAAGAACGTCTATGACAAAACTGAATAGGAATGGAGAGTGGGCATCCTTAACAGACACCACTTGGTGTACACACCTCACCTGACAACTCAGCATACGCCCGAACATGCCCATATGTGCTCGGGCAGAGAACCTACTCAGCACCCCTTTCAGTCAGAGATACTGACATAAGACCTCTCGAAGGAGTTGAATGCCACCTTCAGGTCAAGAAGTATAGCAAACGTCAGGCGTACGAGTGCCTGTTTTCCATAACCTAGCGAAAAGCGGAATTTCAGGTTTTCTCGGAATTTTTGTTCCGGAGTTTCGATTCAATCAATCAATCAATCATTAGATTTCTGACAATTATAGAACGTTGAATCTCAGAAACTGTTTTCTTGAGGCTGATTCCCTTGAAGTTATCTGAAGAATACTTCTTCACATTTTTTCAAGAATAGGGATGTCAGCAGTGGAGAGCAGTCAGAGTGGATCATATCAGTTGCTCCCTGAAACCAGCCTTAGTGATCTCATTCTGGAGCTGCACTCGCAATGATCCTGCTGATCAGATTTTCCTACATGTATTGAAATGCAGACACATATGGTCTGGGACCAAAACGTCGTCTCTTTCCAAACACGATTTCCAAAAAGAGCGAGTCCTCCACCGACCCTCTTCAATGATGGCTGACAGCAATATGGTTTCTATGTGTGTCCACCACTAATTTGAGTTTGGTGGACAATATGTCACACAGTGTTTTTCTTTATATCTGAATATCGTGCCAGCCAGAAATTAATGGTTTTCTAAGCATAGCTGCAACATATGGCCGTCGCTACCTGTTCGCTCGACTGGGATTCAAAAGGTGCCACATAAGCGGCTTTTTTTCCGACTCAGGTTAACCACTTGTGCATTGAAATCCCCCGTAACAACTACAGCACCTAAACGTTTGGGCCTTCGTAGCAGTCTAGACAGTTTGCGACAGAATTCATCCTCCACGTCCTCTGAACTGTAGTCACTAGGTGCGTAAACAGAGATTATAAAGAGACGACGTGGAGTTTCACCATTCTTTTTGGACCTTACTTTGCTGTTTAATCGAACAGTATATAGGCAACTGTCAACTGGGATCCAGTCGCGCAGCGCACGTCCTGCTTTGGCTTTTCTCTTTCGAATCCGACTATGAATCGCTTTCGCAGGCATCGGCATGCCACGAGGTGTTGAGAGTGTGCTATTTTTGGGGCGGACCTTCCAAACTCATAGAGAAGGCAGCATCAGCATGAAACTGTTGATTCTCAAAGTGAAACACCTTGCTGCTGTCACACTACCGTCCATCTAACAGTGTAAGACTTCACCCTCAGAATCCCATCATACCGTAGTAATTTATGCTACAACGGCAACTAGATTTTCTTTAACCACTACACAAAAGACTTTTCTGATATGGGTAAGACGTCCAGGGAACAAGTGCTACATCAGCATAGCTCATCGTATCACTGTGATATGCATGGCTGACCACCACATCAAGACAGTAGCTATCAGTCGGTCGGCTGAAGACCAACGGGTCAGTCTGAGAAAATACTTTTGACACTTAAAAATCACGAACAACCCAATGCAAAAATCTTCAACTAACAAGTAATTTTAATATCTGTGACTACTACTGAGATATGAAGAAAAGTTTCCAAAAACTAGGTGGAAAGGAATTCTGCAGTTGAAACGCTTTTGATCGGCAGTCGGTTTCAGGTTGAAGTAGTTGTAGCAACGAAATGCGTTGATTACTTCACTTACACACGATAGGATTGGTGCAAAAATGTCGTTACTAACGAAATAGCAGCACATTAAGTATTTGATAGCTTAGATGTGGGTAAGATATCCGACTACGTATCACTTCACTAACATATTGTACAGCAGACCGCTCTTAACTATTGTACAATTGTGAGATGTGACCGTTAAAAGTAGAAAGCATGGTGAGACAAATTTTTTTGTTTTGAATCCCAATGACATCATTACATCGCTCGTTTTGCAGAAGCATCTCAAAAAAGTTAAATTTAGGCATAGAATAATAAACAAGAAAGGCACACTAGTCAATATGCATTCACTGATATAAGGTGACTTAAAAATGTATTGTGCATCTTGAGCTACCGAATGAGCCAGAGGCAAAGTGTTACCCAAAGTAAGACTTTAAAGTTGGCAAAACGAAGATGTGATAACAATCAATTAAGTCTTCTACTGTTCGTCTAAACTATGAAAAGAAACGTAAACTATTTGGCTAGGGGTCCTTGAAACCAGAAGAATCAACGGCTAAAGATTCTTGCTTACACGGCTCAAAATCGGTTACAATGGTTCAAGTGTTTAGCTCTTGAACATTTTCACCGACTTTTACTCATTTATTTCCTCTCTTCTCATACTCTTCTGACTACCTTAATATCATTCTTTTTCTGCATCCTGTTGGAAAATGTAACAACTTGAACTGATTCACTAATTAGTATAGAACGTAAAAACTGCCTTAGGATGTAATTTACATATTAGAACTTTTCACCTGATACAGTATTATTTACATGAAGTAACTTTGGGCAATAGAATCACAAAACATTCGACACCTGATTTTAATAGTTTTATCAAAATTATCCACATCTCCGTCCAGTACACGTGTTCTTTCATTCCTATCATATGTGTTGTGTGTTGGTTGATTCAATTAACTAAGATTTGGTTATCTATTTCTCCCTCTCTCTTTCAATCTAACTATATCGAATGTAACAAAAACAGTTGCTTTATCCTACCACCCAGTGTGTGTTACAGTGTATACATTGCAATAGCTAAGATTGTTTCTATATTATTTTAAGAGTGGGATTCATTATTCTACATTTGGTCAAATCCTAATACTTCAATAGTCAATTAGTTTGAACAATGTAATTGATCTCATTGTATGGTTGAATTAGGTTAATTAGATCCTTAAATTAAGAAAGTTTATCACTGAATAAATTTGTAGGTTTGACTCTTAGTCCAGTTTTATTCTAGTCAAGAATTCAACATGAAGTTTTTGTTATTCTTTCTTGTTATGTCAGCATAATAGAAACCTTGAACTTTTTCCAACTTGTGTTGCCATTATTATGCATATTACTATCAATAATACTGAAACTTTTTTTAATAAACTCCAGAAAATAGTGATATATATATACACATTTACAGAAAGCAAACCATTAACTGTAACCCAGAATTTTACTGGTTGACGCATAAAAAGTGTATCCAACAGTAGCAAATCTTCCTTTAGCTAGTGTTATTTATCCACTGCACTTCATTACACATCAATACCAACCATCTCCCCCATCTATTTCACTCATATCCTTCCTAGCTATGCAGACAGCGGTTGTATTAGACGCATAATGTACAATTATCCACAAATATATGTTACTTTTACCAACTGAGCTACAAGAACAGATTTTTATGTCACTTCAATCACCCCCCGGGCCTTAATTTAAGTGGATTTGGATTGGAGTAAGAAGTCCTGACTGAGCAGCCAGTGTAAGCACGACCAAGCGACAATAACGCATCAAGAATTCACATAGACAGTTGGGCAAAACCTTTGGTGATTGAACTGAAACAAAAATCTGGTCAGCAGTTGGGTCTTGTATCTAACTGGGTAGAGCACCAAGATGGAAATCAGGTTGTCGCTGGTTCAAATCCTATTGTAGCGCAAATCTTCATATCACCTTCAATCGTTATTCAGTATCAATACGTTACCGACTTTTTTTATTAACCTCTGTAATTTAGATCAAAAAGGAGTGACTTTAGATGATCATAATCTGCTAACATGTACACACTATTTAAGTAGGTAGGTTACAGTTTATTGATAGCTTAGAGATAGGAAATATAGTACATTTGGAAATGAAAAGCTGATATGTAAATAATAACTCTTTAATGCACCAGCGTGACGAATACAATATAATTCAATTTGGAAGTTTGTGGAGATTTATTTACTGATTTAAGGTTGGTACTCAGTACAGACTGACATCAGCTGGAGAAACATTGGAAAACTGGGAGAACCGGACAGCTGTTTCGTCCTAGTATAGAACTTCTCAGTGGTGCGCACCCTTGAACCTGTCGGCGATGGAACTCAGGACCTTCAGGTTGTGTAGCCAGCACGTCACCATTGAGCCACTGAGTCGGAATCCAATGGTCCAATGTTTTTCCAACTGATCTCAGTCCGTGATGAATACAACACAAGACAAAAACATTCTGCTCTTAGTCAATGTACGAACAAATTTTATATTCGATACACTGCATTCGTAGCATTTACAAGAGCAGAGAGTAAGTTTTAAATGCTGAAAAATGAGATCTCTTGTTGAGTACTTACCATCCACGTACCGATGAGACCCCCAACTATCTACCAGAAGGTGAGTTTAGTGCACAGGGTTCAGTCTTGTTTTAATCAGAGGCTCGGGAAAAAACCTTCAAAATCGGTGGACCATTAAGTCTGCGGGGGTCCCATAATATATGCGCTTGCACAGTATTGGATGTCTTAAGCAAAATAAGTAAAAGTGAGATACTTTGAGATTTCTAAGTAAGCCAATTGACAAATTTATGTATTGCATTCTAAGTCACCATCTGTCCATATACCACCAGGCATGGGTAGGGAGTGAGTAGAGATTTGCTGGACTAAGACAAACAAACAGGTAGTAAAAACACTGGTGGACAACCTTGATTGTGCATAAAAGTGTAAACCGCTTCACTTTTACTCTGCGAGATGTAAGACATCAAAAGTTGAGGACACTGCCTAATATGGTTTAACAGCGAAGATACTGGTACTTTTCAAAATCACTTTGTAATGATGATATACTGCTTTCTAAAGAGGAATTAAAAACCTTCAGCAACAGAATATGAACTATTCCTAAGGAAATATCCACGCTGTAACTGACTTTTATCTCGTACAACAGCATTATGTAGTCGAATAAACAAACAGGTTCAGTGAAACCTGATAGTCTTGGGTGCGCACTGCTCAGGAGTATTCGAAGAGGACAAAACAGCTGTCCAGTGCTCCCAGTCTTTCAATGACTCTACAATAATTAATGTCGGTTCACGATGAGTACTACCTCGCAATCGAAATCCGTTGAACAAAGCATACAGGAATAGAAAGATAATAATAATACACTTTCAAGTTTTAAAATAACTTCGTCGCATCTGTAAACAAGTGGAAAAAATAATGTGAAGATTCCTACTGAATTTCCTTTTTCAGACACTGTTACCATTCCTAAATTTAAGGGAAAGAGGTCAGTGTTTCTTTTAAACAATAAAATATAAAGTTACTAATGGTTTCTTATATACCCTTTTTATCGGTAAAAACCTGAGTCCACTTACTTTTTGTACTCGATCACCTTTCTCTTCAACGACTGATTGATCTTTCTGTTCATTATTATAGTTTTGGAACAGATCGATAATCTAATTTATCAAAAAAAAGGAGGGGAAAAAACTCGAAGGTAGGACAAAATTTTTGCGAAAATTGCCAACTGACTTACAAATACAAAAGTTCTAGTGATAGATTACAAAAAATCTTAATATATGAAGTGGAGTTTTTAGTTACCGCATTTAAAAGTAATTCACTAGCCTATTACCTACCTCATCTTCATCGACTTTGAAAAGGCCTTCGACAGCGTCGATCGAGAAGCAATTTGGCAACTGCTCCAACACTATGGAATAACATAAATCTCTATCAACCTCAAGCAAAAACCAACAAGTTGACAGAAGAAACAGGGCAGCGAAGATGGCACTTCAAGTGAACGTAGATAAGACAGAGGTGATGATGACACCCAACCACCACCATCACTAACAACAAGCTCCAATCACCATCAAGGGGAGAAACTTAAACGAAGTAGCCTCCTTCACCTATACAGGCAGCACTTTTCAACTTCAGGTGGCACAGACAAGAACATCAAAGCCAGCCAGGATCGGAAAAGCAAGACAGGCCTTCATTAACCTGGCACCAGTGTGGAGATCTTCTGCACTCCACTCAGCATAAAGCGTGAACAATATCCGGATTTTCAACAACAATCCAGTCAAGTCAGTGCTTCTGAATGGTTCAGAGATTTGGCGCGTTACGAAAGGCATTTCTAACAAACTACAGACATACATTACATCAACAACTGCCTACACTGACTCGCCACTGAAGATCAGATGAGAAGGCGAGAAAGAATAAGCAACAAGCAACTCTGGACTGGCTGGCAACGAACCAACGAAGCAAGAAGCTGTCATTCAACAAATATGTACTGGAAGGAAGTGGAGATGGATTGGACATACACTGAGAAGGCCGGCTGGGGACATCACGCATCAGGTTAGGCTGTCAAGTGGAACCCCGATTGGAAGCGACGAGTTGGGCATCCTTGGCAGCGGGTGACATGGAGGAGATGGTGTGAGGAAAAAATGAAAGCTTATGGGCAGTCATGGAGCCAGGTTCAAGAGACTACAGAGAACAGAGTGCACTGGAGACGTGCTACTGAAGCCCTATGTTCTATTAGGAACCCAAGGGACACATAATGATAATAATAATTACATTGACTATGAAAGCATTCATGATATGATTAAGAAAGTAGTTAGCGAATTTATGATGCAGAGACTGAAGCACAGATGGACCATTCAAAAATTAACAATTCCACAATTTCCACGTATGAACAAAATGAAAACACGCCAGAAAAAGTTGCAAAACCGAATCTTTCAGTTTGTATTTCAGATATTCGTATAACAAACGATTATTGGTAAGTGTATCACAATGTATAGCATAAACTAATGCAGTAAAATTCTTATAAATGTTGGTGCAGCACAAAACAAAGTTAGGTGTGAGGTACAATACCTGAGTATCCATATTACTAGTAGTACATAGTTCACTATTCGATATGATGGCCAGAAATGTAATCTGAGACCTAATTTCTAAATTACATTGGACTTGTTAGTCAGATATATGCAAATTCTCTTAGCAACCTTCATTTCAAAAACTTCAGTTAAACATGGACAGATCAAATGGATTTTGATAAGCAACAGTGATAGGTTTAAACAATTTCCATCTACTGAACAAGTAAATATCGTAACTCAGTAGTTTAGTTAACAATCATTTGCTATTCCAAGAAAAAAACTACTGATAGATTCAATTTTGATTAAGAACACTATAACACATGAACAAGCTGGTAAGTTTACATTCATTTAGCCTGTAGCTGTAAATCATTCGAATAGGCATCACCAACACTGAGAACACAGAAAACATCAAGAATTCACCCACAGATGTTTGAATAGCTCATGCAAAGTAGGCGAAGTTCACAGATTACTCAACAACGACAACAACAACAACCTAAATTCCCAGGTTAATTCAATCTCATTATTACACTTCGACAAAATCTTTTAAAGAGCTTAGTAGATGGATTATGGTTGAGGGCACAGGTAAAAACGCTTGTAGGGGGATCCGAACTTGCGATTATACTTAACATATGATCACCTATAAAGTGAATAATTTACCCTTCGATTTTCTGCTAATTAGGATAAATTGTTCCCCCCCCCCCACTCAAGTGAGTCAGAAAAATTAGAGTTCAAAGAAAATATTCTTAGAAAAGAAATTATCACTAGATTACTGGCCCATAAAATACCTTTAGCTAACAGAAAAGGATATTCCAGAGGAAAATTTCACGTTTAAATGAAATCAATAAACATAACACAATTCTAAACGTGTATAGTAACGATCGCATATATTTTTGTACCAAACTATCACTCGTGCTTTGAGGGAAGAAGAAGTAAGACAAGGAATGGATCTCGACAGATACATGAAAGCTGATAGAGAAGGGAGAGGAGGATTGTGAAGCAGAAAATAAACCAGTGCAAGCATGAACAGTGAAAAGAGGAGCTGAATACAACGTATAAAACACTACACTGAACAAAGAAGTGAAGAAGAGTGTACAGAAAGACAAAAGACACTTCCACGACACACTCGCAAGTGAAGCAGAACAGGCTGCTGGTAGGAGAGATAGTCACCTGACAACACTATATCAAATAACCAGGTGACTATCTGGGAGGGGAAAGATCAACGCAGATGAAATCAATGAAAGATAATGAAGGAAACTTAGTTACCAAAGAGGAGAAACAAAGGAAACAGTGGGCTGACCACTTCGAAAAACTCTTGAATCGACCACCAGCATCACCAACTGCAACTCGTCCAGAAATACCACCTGCAGCCCGACCGCAGAATAACCAGTGAACATAAGCCCTCCGACAAAACCCAAAGTCCTGAATGCCATAAAGCTGCTAAAATCCGAGAAGCCAGCACGACCAGATGGAATCCCGCCAGAAGCACTGAAAACAGACGCAGGGACAACAGCGGACACACCACCATATCACTATTGCAGAAGGTTTGCAAAGAAGGCAATGTACCTGTATATTGGAAGAAGGGATACCCTGTCAAACTCCCAAAGAAGGGTGACCTAAGTCTATGCATGAACTGGTGCGCAATCATGCTCCAGTCCATCCCAAGCAAAATATTAGGTCGCATCTTCCTGGAGAGACTAAAAGATTCGCTGGATTCAAAATTAAGACCGGAACGGGTTGGCTGGCTTCAGGAAAAACAAATCATGCACGGATCGAATAGCAACGCTACGCCATGAATCATCATAGAACAAAGCACAGAATGGTAGTTAACTGTCTGCCTCAACTTCATCGATTTTGAAAAGGCCTTCGACACTAAGAAGACCATTCAGAGACATCACGCGCTAAACCAGGCCGTTGAGGGGAACCCAAAGGGGAAAATGACGAGTTGGGCGTCCGACGGTGACATAGAGCAGACTGTGTGAGGAAGAGATGAAAGCTTCTGGGCAGTCTTGGAGCCAGGTTGAAAAGACTGCAGATAACAGAGTGAAATGGCGACGTGTTACTGAAGCCGTATGTTCCACTACGAACCCAAGGGAGAAATAATAATAATAAAACTATCAGCGCAGTATCGACTGGCAGCCAAAGTTCGATTATTTGAAGCTGGGTTCAAACCCACAACACAAGAATTGAAAAAAGACTATTTGAGCGAATAAACCACAGACACAAAGAATTTCTCTAGATAGTTCATATACTGTTGTTATATTCAGTTACCTGCAGATAAACTACTAATAGTCCGTGATGTATAGAGAATAACTTGGTAGGAAGCACTCAACAGTTAAATGAATAACGCTTTGTATAGCTTAACAAATGTTGTCTTAAAAATGATAATGAAATAAGTGGATGATAGGACTATCAAAACGTAAAAGTTATGAAGAAAACCAATTCTGCCTATTTCTGTCTACAATTAAAAGATTTAGCTCCCAACTCTCCTGTCCTTATCGTGCTATCAATGGATTTTCGCTTAGCATATATCAACTAGCAACATAACTAGGAAATGAGGTGAGAAATAATAACAATACATGAAACCAGAAGAAACATTGACTAACTAATGAGCGAATAATCGATGCGAGTCATTGGTCCAAATATCTATCCGTTGACCTTGAACCCACGCAGTAAATCAACCAATAAGTGTTGAACAAAGTGAATTTATTCAGGTTACCTGCTTATTTTTATCATGAAAACAGGAGGCCAGAGCCAATAAATTTTGAGGACAACAATAATGTGTATACAATCTTATACAGAAAATAAGTATGATATCATCCCAACAACTGGGAAATATATTTGAAGAAACAAACAAACATACAATTACCAATATAAACAAAAAGAGAGTAATTTCTAAAACTAAAACTACTGACCTGGAGAAAAATGTATCCATAGACAACGGTAGAAGAAGAAAGAAAAAATAGGAATACTGAATAATAGTGTAAAGAGAATACTTCGAAACATTTTAGATGGCTTACCAAGGCATACATTTCTATATGAAAAGGGCTATGAATAATCTTAATGATAGTACTAGCAACACTCAGTAGTCTAAACCTATGTAAAATTACCACGAATTTTGAGTTTTTAATCCAATGACACAGAGATGAGTGTTTACAACATCAAAGCCTATCATAACAACTCAAACTTCTAAAGATGTGGTGGTAATAATTGGCAAAGAATTTAACCAGTTTATGTAACTCTATCTCTTCATGAGTTGATATCGTGTGAAGTAGTTCAGAGATAATTTTCAATTAGTCTCATTAACCACACTCATTTCGAAAATTACAAAACAATCTTTCAGATGCACAACGTCATTGGTTTTTATTAATTTACGTAATACTACAAAACAAGTACAAAATAGTGTTGATGCTAGTATTCTCATCATCATCATCACCATCCCATCAACATACGACCAGGCATTACTGCCACAGCTGATATCAGTACATCAAGTAAAAAAAAAACAATGAAGTGCAAATGAAGGGAAGAAAATTCAGTCAAAAGAAACATAAAGTACGGAAAGAGATAAAGAAAGAAGGAGAAAATGCTGAGATTCTGTATAGCGTTAAAATGAGGATAATACGTGTTGAGATATATCTGCTCCACTGACATCGGTTCTGGACCATTTGATCACCTAGAGTCTCCAACCACTGGTTTCACTTGTCTCGTGAACCCCAACCGGCTGGTGTGCATCACCACACATGGCTCAAACCAACATCAAAGTCCAGCCGCCTCGAGCCTTTTTCTAGCCTGAACCTACTGTGGTCAAGATTGTGTGACAAAGCAGTTGGCGACCAGGTGTACGTAACACATACCCTAACCATGTTAGTCAATGGAGGTTCTCAACCATGTCAACTGACTTACCTCTTCGCCCTCCCTAGAACTCTACACCTGACTTCTGCATTACTTAAGTGGTGACACCAGGAAACAGGGGGTATGTTACAAAGGCAACAGTAGTCAAACACCTGAAGCCTTCTCATATCTTCCACCTTCAATGGCCATGTTTCACAGCCATGGAGTAGAACTGAGCGGACTGCTGTGCATTACATGCGGCCCTTAATAGACAATCGGATATCACGGCGTCGCCATAGGTGGCGTAAGTTAACGAAAGCCAACCGAGCGTTTTGTATCTGTGCAGAGCCACTAGGGCTGATCCTACTTCCCAGGTAAGTGAAGTGGTCGACACACTCTTTATTGTTAGCCGAGGCACCGTTGAAGACCAATTCTGAAGCGAAAATTTGCATTTGGGTGGTGAGGAACGCATTCCAAACATTATCAAATTGCCACTGAAAGTGTTCAGAAGATTTTACATCCCGTCAGCGTCTTCACCTAACAGGACTATATCATCTGCTTATACTATCTCGAGTTTCGGGAGGCAGGTTTATCCAGCTGACGAGTCCCAAATAGGCCGAAGCGCGTATGCAAGATTTCATTGCCAACCACTATCCATCATATACTGTTGTTATTATTCGTCCCTTCGGTTCCTAGTGGAACATACGGCTTCAGTAGCACGTCGCCATTTCACTCTGTTATCTGCAGTCTTCTGAACCTGGCTCCACGTCTGCCCATAAGCTTTCATTTCTTCTTCACACCATCTCCTCCATGTCACCCTCGGACGCCCAACTCATCATCATCATTAATACATACAAGTACTAAATAGTTTAAAATCAATGTCAGTGGATTTCACGTAACCACTTATTGGTCTTTCAACTCTATCCTAATGTTCAATATTAACGGATCTACAATATGCATGAAATATATACACATTTCTCGCATAAAACATAGGGGATTAGGTTTTGTCTGAATATATAAATTTCTTCAGTGACTTGGAAGGGAAAAAAAGTGATCTATTCACCTATCACATTATTCATTTTTTCCCAGCTTTTCTGTTCACCATTGTCATATGGATATTGCCTGCGCGGAAATAACTTCTGTAGGACATGGCATTAGTGTATAACCATCCATGTTGCCATACCTCACATCAGCACACTCAGCAAGAGTGTGCAAAGATGAAAGATTAGGAGAATAAGGAAGAAAGCAGTCAAAAATTGGGGGGCGGAGAAAGAGATTAAGAAAGAGTGGAGATAACAGTGAAATTCAGTGTTATGACCAAGATGAAGAAATTGTGCAGACACACCTGAGTCCTATCACCTAGAGCCTCCAACCACCATTGGTGGTGAGCTCTAATTGCTTCCAAGAACCAATTAAGGAATCAATAATAATAATAATAATAATAATAATAATAATAATAATAATAGTGGATAACGCTCTGGCGTTTGAAGCGATCACTCCCGAGTCCGAACCCCGGTGGGAACAACACTCACTGGGAGGCGGTTACATCAAGCCGACGAGTCCCAAATAAGACGAAATGCACATCCTGGATTCCACTGCTAGCTACTGCCCATCATTACTATAAATAATAATAAAAGTAATAACAATAATAATGACAATAGAAATAACTTACAACGTTTCTAATAGGCTCCAACAAGATGAGAATACTATCACAATCCGATTTTGTGATATCAATTAGTTTAAGTACAGACTTTACCAATTCTGCACAAACGCAATTACACAATACACCTAAAATGAATTTTAGAAGAAATAAGGGGGGCGGGGGAGGGGAAATTTTCTAGTTACTTTAACTAATCAAAATAAGAGACAATTCACAAATTAGTACCTATCAAAAAAGCTATAAGTCAAATGTAAAATATGTGATGTACATTAGAGGTCATGTGCAAAGCGACGAATTATATTTGTTGCATGAGAATTGATGCTCAAATATTTCAAACCCCATACCCACTGATTGAAAACCAATGAACTAAAACTTAAAATTATGTCAGCAATGCAAAAACTAAAGTTTTGCAAGTCAGATACAATATATTATTGGAATTTAAATCTAATAAAAACATGCTTGAAATTGATTTCATCTCCCTTAACATTCATGTACAGTTTGAACTCAGTTCGATATACTGAAGTGTACGCAACCAGATATTATCATTAACTTTCATACAATAGAAGTGGATTAATGCCTACTGGATGAATGCGAATGTTGAGTTTTTTCGTTTTAGTGCCCAGCATTTACAATCATAACGGTCAGATGGATGATAAGAGTGAGCTGATTTAGCCTATGTGTAAATAATATATACTGGAAATTTAAAGGACACTCAGGTTCTAGACGGTGATTATCAGTGACGAAATTATCACTACTACTACTACTAGCGTATTGCACGAACATGTCATTTCTTAACGTTAACGACGTAATGTAGACGGATTACAATGACCACGTATTTTGACAACTATTGATGAATACAAGTAAGGCTACCGTAATTAGTTTACGAGAAATATCTCTCCAATAATGTTCAGTTACTCTTATTATCAACGTTTCTATACACATCTATCAATTCCTTCAAAGTACGTCGATAGCCATGATATTGTAGTGTTTGATTTAAATTCAGTCTGTGATCCTGGCAAAAGTATATAAACTGAAAAATTATTCAGCTGTTAGGAATGAAAATCAAGACAGGCCTTCATTAGCCTGAAACCAGTGTGGAGATCTTCTGCACTCAGCATGCGGAACAAGATACGGATTTTCAACACCAATACCAGTCAAGTCAGTGCTTCTGTATGGTTCAGAGACTTGGCGCGTCACGAAAGGGATTTCCAATAAACTACAGACATTCATCAAAAACTGCTTACGCTCAATACTGAAGATCAGATGGATTGCCAGAAAGAATAAGCAACAAGGTGCTCTGGGAACGAACCAACCAGGAACCCATCAACCAACAAATATGCAGGAGGAAGTGGAGATGGATTGAATTGGGCATGCACTGAGAAGGCCGACTGAGGACATCACGCGTCAGGCCAGTTGCTCGAGTGGAATCCCCATGGGAAGCGACGAGTTGGACGTCCGAGGGTGTCATGGAGGAGGTCGTGTGAGGAGGAAATGAGAGCTTCTGGGCTGTCGTGGAACCAGGTTCAAAAGATCTCAGAGAACAGGATGAAATGGAGACGTGCTACTGAAGCCCTATGTTCCACTAGGAACCCAAGGGACTAATAATAATAATAATAATAGGAATGAAAATAATTTGCAAATTGTACTTTCAACTAAAAGTAAGTTGAGTTTATACAGGTCAGTTGATAAAATTCGAATGACCTTCATGGTCTACTTGCGTAGTAATTAAGTGTAACTATATACCTAATGAGCACATTTCGAAGTGAAAAAATAGACCATCTGATAGAACAAGTAGTGTGGAAATACTTTCAAGAAACACTAATATTCATGCTTCATTCAATTTTATAAATAAATAAAAATCCCAAATATAGTAGTATACCCAGACTAATCATTAAAATAATAACTTATCAACAGAATATATTTGGAAAAAAATTCCTACCGATTGCACGAATATAAATTGTATAGGGTAGTAGATCGAGTGCATCTGTAATTTTACGAAAATGAACACAAATATCTCGAATAGCACTGGTACATCGATGATAACCAGCTGATGAGTTAACATCCTTTTTGAAAACAAAGAAAAAACACAAAAATCAATAAAATAATTGTTTTTATATCATACCGTCGTTGATTTGACTGAATAGATCAATCTCTATTGGTATATGGGCTGTTGTGCGGATGCCTCGATATTGCCTACTGTTCTAATTATGTTAATGATGGATCGTGGCTAGCAGTGGAATCCCGGGGGGGGGGGGGGGGCAATAACATCACTTACTGGAAAGTAGGTACATTCAGCTGATGAGTCCCAAATAGGACGATGAAATGCGCATCTTGGATTCCACTGTTAGCCACGATCTATCATTAAAATAAATAATTACTAAAAGGATGAATAACGTGTAACTGTTAACAAAATTATATGTAGTAGCGAGAATTATAAGCGACTTTTCTCACGAACTAGCAATCAGCGCCAAGTAGCACTGTTTACTGTCTTCCGAATTCAACCTGATCTCTACACGAGTTAAAGGTTATATTTGACTACATATACGATAAATCTAATCACAATTGAAGAGTCAAGAAATAAAAGGCATCTTCTGAATTTCAATGTTTATCTATAAAAATCAATTGAGTTGTATAGAAAAAAAATTAGAATAGAATAAATACTATTCAACTGTGCCCGTGAATATTGCTTTAGACAATGAATCAAGCCTGTTGAGTAAGAGGTAATATTACCTACCATCTGGTTGCACATATTGATTTAGAAAAAGTGAAATTTTAAGCAAAGATAAACTGTCTAAGATTTAGATGTTAAAGTCAATCAGTCAAAAGACTAACTAGATATTATTTAGTGGGACAGTGTAATCCATGTCATGCATTATTTCTTTTCTAAAGAAATATCAACCAAAAATCTAATACATTATCAAGCGATTTTGAATTTCCAGTAAGATTTAACATCTCAGTCAATTATGTATAGTAATGATAAACAGTGGAACCCAGGATGCGCATTTCGTCCTATGTGGAACTCATCAGCTGGATGTACCTGCCTCCTAGTGAGTGATGTTGCTCCAACCGAGACTCGGACTCAGGAGCGATCGCTTTAAATGTCAGAGCGTTATCCACTACAAGCAATAACACTAACTCAGTCAATTCACTTAGACATCAATGTTGTTCCCTTCGGATACAGTGTGTCAGTGGATACTGTTATAAAGCTAGTGCCCATTTCGCTGGACGAAATGGATTAGCATCTACCAACGTATATTCGCTTTTCCATACATTCGGATATATATATGAGAGCTGACAATAAAATCTGGTCATTGCTTTTCATACCAAACAGAAAGGAGTAAATGGATGGAGAAATCTGATGGTGGATAATTATTCATGTCAAAATATCAACACAAGACGTTAGTACCATTAATATAAGTAGACGATAACAGTTCATAATTGTATAGTAGACGCTCAAACTCTATGGTGTGAAACAATTATACGACAGTTTAGAAAAACTTACGTTCGCAGCGTATCAAAAGTATATTAGCAAATTAAAAACTCGACAATTAAAATTCATATCTGTCCTACTTCATGAAGCCACACGTATTTCGAAACGTTTAGTAGAACTACCATAAAACTGAAACCTAGGTGAATTGAACACGTTTATAGCATGTAGCACACATTAACAAAGTAAACTTAATTGTCACGTTTGTGTAGTTAATAATAGCTATTATATTCGAGAATCACAATGGATTAATTCCACCAGACTGATAAACGCTAATCCTCGATCTACAATAACCAGTCTCTTTGGGGTATATGCTTTCAGTGTTGAATTAAGGTCTACTTCAATTCAAATCAGTGGAAATGAAGTTATATCATTGACCCATGAAGTCTTGATGTCTTTTCCTTTGATGTGCTGACATGAGATGTGGTAACTTGGAGCTATATGATGATGTAACACGCCACGTGACACATATCGATAGCTGTCGCGCACACTCACTCGATACTGAAGATCAGATGAGAAGGCCAGGAAGAATAAACAACAAGGACCTCTGGTCTGCCAACAAACAAACCAACTAAGCAAGAAGCTATCGCTCAACAAATATGCTGGAGAGGAAGGTGGAGATGAACTGGATTGGATTGGATTGGATTGGACATACACAGAGAAGACCATTTGGTGACATGGCGCACCAGGCCAGGCCAAGCCAGGCCCTCGGGTGGAATCCAAATGGGAAACGATGAGTTGGGTGTCCGAGGGTGAAATGGAGGAGATGGTGTGCGAAAGAGATTTAAGCTTGTGGTCAGTCATGGAGCCAGGTTGAGAAGACTGTAGAGAAGAGAGTGGAATGGAGACGTGTTACTGAAGCCGTATGTTCCACTAGGAACCCAAGGGACAAATAATAATAATGATAACTTGGAGCGCTAGGCAGTACTGTCATGTCCTATGTTAATATCAACTGACCCAGTAACCCATGATATCACTGACTGTTAGTCTACATCGTTTAAAAAGCATTATGAAATGTGTAGTTAAAAATGGCAATTGGATATGTTTCCAGTGATATTATTGAGAATTGGGTAACAAAGAGTAAATACCCTACTATTCCGGTATTTTCACGATTTTTCGGGTTTGTTTTATTGCCTTCCTAATCGCCTTTCCTGTAATCAACATTACTTTTGTCTGTTTGCGTGAAAGAATTTCTTTCAACTGAGATTAATTTATGTTATGCCTCTCAGAATAACAATTAATTAATCACTTACTACACAGCTGCGCCACAGTTACCATGCACTTATTCAATTATCCAGGCAACAGCATTAACACCTAGTAAAATAGTTGCGATTGCTCACACAGATGACGATGAATAACCGCACATCCTCTACAAACTATGCTACTCATGATCTATAACAAACACGATGTTCACACATGATACAGTGTAGTTTGAACAATTTTTCTACAAACATGATAAACGAGAAAATCAGTTAACAGAAATAATATGACTAGTCATAATAGTTTGTACGCTTATGGAATGTCGCAGGTCATCCACTTAGTAACAAAACAAAATTGACTATTCTGTCGAATTCTCTTCATCCCCTCCCCCTCCTCGATCACGTAAGATGTCAGTTACTAAACATTAACTATCAATATACCTAGCTGTTAAGTGAAATATATATATATATATTTCAGAGATTTACAATACAATACTGATTGTAATAAATAAATATGTTTCGATAAGCTGAGAAGACCTAAGGAGTCTTATGTAAACAAACAAATAAATAGCGAAAAAGTTCATGAATGTGAATGAAACAAAGCATATGTAAACATGAAAGTTATTGTGAATAAGATATTACAAAAAAACGTGTGCAATTACATTAACTTATAAAACCTTTACGACTGGTTAATGTCATTATAAATCATATCTTTCATAAATATTTTAAATACCAAGAATTTAAATATAACTTGAAGGGTCAACATAAAACAGACGAATAATAATACATGAGCATTTGTGATGATAAAGTGAAGTCAGTCGGAAAAGAACTAAACAATACATGTACATTTAGCAAATTTGGTAAAACAAAAAAAGGTATGAAAACGAAAGTAGGATCTGTTTTTATCTTTCTAAGTGCTTCGTCGCTTAGATAAAGAAACCAAGAGTCTAGAACAATAAACGATCGACTCATGTTAGCACAGTTCTGTTTGATTCACAAGATTAATTTTCATTTATGACTGAATACGATAATAGGACCACTGAAAATTCATACTGGACGTGGATGACATTATAGAAGTAATGGTTTCATTTCACTATGTGTCTGTGGAATTAAAAATGATGGACATTATGGCTAAACACTGGTTATTAGATAATCAATCCACCCCCAGTGCTATCTGAGCTCGCATACAGCAGGTTGAAAGAAGAGATTCTGCTAGAAAACATAAAGGAAGTCTCTCACTGCTAATTTCAAATGTTTAGACGATATGATTAAGCTGTTAGAGATGTCAAAAAGCAATGCATAGAGACTCTAGTTGATATCGTTCAGAAACGAACCTAGTAACGAGGATGTAGCCAATATTCATTACCGTTGAACCCGCCACCTCTTTATTATCCCTCATCTCATATAGTTTTTGTTTATTTCAATATTAATCTACTACTGTTCCCCTCCTTTTCCAATGTTTTCAATTGTAGCAGATTGTACTTGAGCGATTTTGTGTAAGACTCAATCCTGATTGGCTGTTCACCAGTCTGTTTTCATTGGAGTGGAGTTAAAAGGCAGCAGCACATTGATGCACAAAATACGAAATAAAAAACAAGAGTTACAATAAAATAAAACTTACACAAAATCCTTGTATTCTTTCAGTGCATTGTAGTAAAAACTGTCGTTCACGTCTTAAATGAGACAGTAAACTGTTTACGCCAGCCTGACGTAAATGTGGCACCAATATACAAGTACTCATGGAAGCTGATCTTTCTAAAACACTGAAATTGTTAGAGATATCAATTGTATCTGTCACAACTGCATGGTTTAATTCTAGGAAACGTTCAACAAATTTGAAAAGACCACGTTCGCTCAGCGTTAAACACTCATGTGCTAAATACATACAGTTATTGTGGTAGAGAACTGAAGAACAAAGAGAAAACCAGACGTAAAACCAGTTTCTTGTTAAACAAGTAATACACAAAACTAATGAAACAGCAACAACAACAAAAAAGAAATGCGTTGAGAAACAATACAATAACATCATATAACCGTTGGTTATGGCCAATCATTGCCTCCTATATCCAAGACAAACATTATTAACACTTACAATTATCATTATTGTTACTTGTCCCTCGGGTTCCTAGTGGAACATACGGCTTCAGTAACACGTATCCATTCCACTCTCTTCTCTACAGTCTTCTCAACCTGGCTCCATGACTGACCACAAGCTTAAATCTCTTCTCACACCATCTCCTCCATTTCACCCTCGGACACCCAACTCATCGTTTCCCATTTGGATTCCACCCGAGGGCCTGGCTTGGCCTGGCCTGGTGCGCCATGTCACCAAATGGTCTTCTCTGTGTATGTCCAATCCAATCCAATCTAATCCAGTCCAGTCTCATCTCCACCTTCCTCTCCAGCATATTTGTTGAGCGATAGCTTCTTGCTTAGTTGGTTTGTTTGTTGGCAGGCCAGAGGTCCTTGTTGTTTATTCTTCCTGGCCTTCTCATCTGATCTACAGTATCGAGTGAGTGTGGGTGGCAGCTACTGATGTATGTCTATCTGCAAGTTTGTTGGAAATACTTTTCGTAACATATCAAGTCTCTAAACCACCATACAGAAGCACTGACTTGACTGACTTAGTAGTGGAAATCTGGATATTGTTTTTTATGATGAGTGGAGTACAGTGTAGTAGATCTCCACACTGATTCTTGGCAGATCAGTGAAGAAAGGTGTGTCTTCGTGTCTTCCCGACGTTGACTTTGACACCGTCATGTGTGCCGCCGTCCGTAGTTCAGATGGTGCTGCCTAGGTAGGTAGATAGGTAGGTGAAAGAGACAACTTCCATCAGATTTCTCGTCTTCATAGTGATCCGTGCTTGTTGTTGTTATTAGTTGGTTGGATATCTTCATCACCCCTGTCTTCTCTACGTTCACCTCAAAAAAGTCCTGTCTTCCTTGGGTGCCCCGTCTCTTCCCTTCTGCTATACCTCAGTGCTGAAGTCACACATTTGAAATGAACAAAAGTTAAACACAACGTTTTGCCAACTCACTCCAAACATGTCACAATACACACAATATATGCTCCACACTGTCGTATCACTTTCGTGACTAACCACATTCAAAGCTAGATCAATAAACTGCAATCAACATAAGTCATTCGACAGCTTAACTGGTTACCATCCAGAAACCAATCCATGTAATTCCAGTGTACATCACTCATCAGTAACAACACGGATTTTTAATACTGTCGGTCAAGTGAAGCAAAACCCAGGAAAATTTCTAGATTACAGAGATCATAACCAACTCAAAAGAAAAAATAGGTACAATAGAAAACCAACAAGTTCCGAAAATCAGAGACAAATGATGCGAACATTAATGCAGATCAAAGTGGACTCATCACATATGATGTTTTACAGTAGTATGGATGTCCCTATAAGAGGTGTAAATTGGTCTTTGTTATACGAAGAACGTCATATATACTAACATTACAGACGTATACTAGTCACAGATTTCAAAAACTGGGATTTTGGATGCATGGGTTCGCTTCTCTAAAAAGAGAACCTCATAACGAGAAGAACCAAATCAACGAAGTGTGATATACACCTCACTCATGAAAACTGATGATGATAAAGCTTAATTTTTAATGGGTATTCAACAGTAGTTATAACTGAGTAGCTATAAGAAAATCTCTTAAGTTGTTTTTGAGCCTTAGGCGTAACAATTTGATTGTCCAAAATGCATACCGTGTAATTGCTTGTAGAAGGATACATTGACTTACAAACTCGACTTTTGAGAAGTACATTTGAGAAAATCCAAACTCTATTTAACCTGAGTAATCGAATAGCATGACACCACCAACCCATTTCAACATATACGCAAATAATTAATATAGCCGGTAGCTTAGCAAATAAGCATGTACTATGTCTTATTAGTTTTACGAAATTATGTAGATACACGTTTTTACTGGCTGAGTGATTTAGTTCAATGTTGAAAAAAAGAATTTTATATTAATTTGGGTTAATATACGTTCAAACAACATAACGGAGCATGCATAATCCATAAGATAAGAAAAATAAGGTGAATAATGGAATGCATCTGTAACATTGTAGTTCATTTTCCCTTAAATTTTTAATAGTCAGTATTCTGATAACTTAGTACTATGTCTCAGCTTTGCTGACATCCATTTTCTTCTACGTAACAGCATTCAACACTGCGTGTTCAATTCACTCAAAGAAACCTATCAAGCTAGATGTGATTCCACTGTCTTCTTTTCAGTACAAACTTTCAATAAATGTCATAATAGTTACAGTTTTAAGGATTTAAGCTTGCGGCATTCCGTAGTGTTGAAGCAGTTTCAAAATTACCTCTCGGTCGACGCTGTCGAAGGCTTTTTCAGAATCCATGAGGTTGAGGTAGACAGTTGATTGCCATTCCATACTCTGTTCTATGATGATGCGTAGCGTAGTGTTGCAATTTGATCCCCACATGATTTGTACTTCTTGAATCCAGCCAACCTGTTCTGCTCGTAGTTTTGAATCCAGTGCATCCTTTAGTCTCTCCAGGATGATGCGACTTAATATTTTGCTTGGAGTTGAGAGGCATGGAGCGTGATTCCGCGCCAGTTCTTGCAAAGACTTAGGTCTCCCTTCTTCGGGAGTTTGATAAGGTAACCATTCTTCTAATCAATAGGCAGGTACCTTCCCTTCCTTCCACACCTTCTGCAATAGTGGTGTGAGCATGTCCGCTGTTGTCTCTGAGTCTGTTCTCAGTGCTTCTGGCGGGATTCCATCTAGTCCAGCTGCTTTCTCGCATTTCAGTAGCCTTATGGCGTTCAGGACTTCGACTTTCGTCGAAGGGCTTGTGTCCACTTGTAGTTCTATGGCTGCATGTGGTATTTCTGGACGAGGTCCAGGTGGTGGTCGATTCAAGAGTTTGTTTTTATACAATAAAGAATTAAAATTTAGGGCATAACTGATTTATATCGCTACTACCAATATTAACAATACTACTATCACTGCGAATAATGTTACTGATATACACAATAATCACTCACCAGCAAATCGAAGATCCTCTTCAAAAATATCAGCGTGTAAAGTCGGTATCAGTGAAGTGAATAGCATGAAAATTCGAGGAACTAATTTGATAATTGAATCAATAAATACAATAATATTTGTAATCATTGACTTTAAAATCTTCGGATCATCATATGTTAATGATTGATTCACTTCATTTATCAATGGTTCAAGATATGCTTCAGCATTTTTTAAAATCTCATATACTTGTTTCATTATAAGAATCACAGTCTCTGATACCTAAGAAGGAAAGAAAAATAGAAGAAAAAAAAAGATAAGGAGACTAATAAATTTTCTTCTATAAATACATAATCAATTGAATTCATAAAAGATAACTTTTTTTTCATTTTACTCTAGAGTTCGACAACAATGTACACTCTTCCTAACTGAATCCATATATCCCAAGTTATACGATGATGACATTCAGTTCTCTTTAGAATTTCACTACAAAAAGAAGAACCACTGAGAACAGACTCGGAGACAACAGCGAACATGCTCACACCACTATTGCAGAAGGTCTGGAGGGAAGGGAAGGTACCTGCCTATCGATTGGAAGAAGGGATACCTCGTGAAACTCCCGAAGAAGGGAGACCTAAGTCTCTGCAAGAACTGGCACGGAATCATGCTGCTGTCCACCCCAAGCAAAATATTAAGTCGCATCATCCTGGAGAGACTAAAGGATGCACTGGATTCAAAACTACGACTGGTACAGGTTGGCTGGATTCAGGAAGTACAAATCTTGTGCGGACCAAATTGCAACGCCACTCTATGCATCATCATAGAACAGAGTATGGAATGGCAGTCAACTATCTACCTCAACCTCATGGATTCTGAAAAAAGCCTTCGACAACGTCGACCGAGAGGTAATTTTGAAACTGCTTGAACACTACGCTTTTAGTGACACAAACTTTTATCAACTTCATTCAACAGCTATATGCTATATGATGCTACATGCCATGCCAAGTGATTCACAGTGGAAAGGTCAGTGATGCTTTTGAAGTGAAGACAGGAGTAAGATAAGACAACGTTGCTTATTATCACCGATGATCTTCGTGATTGTGGTGGACTGGATCATGCAGCAGATAACTGTGAGGAGCTAGAAGAGGGGGATATGCTGTCTGACCGATGAGAAGACTCTAGAAGATTTTGATTTTGCCGATGATGATTTACGTCTGATGTCTGAAGTCGTACAAACTCGAAGATCTGTAGGCAAAAACCAACAAGTTGACAGTTGCTTATTCTTTTTGGCCTTCTCATCTGATCTTCAGTATCGAGCGCAGATAGCTGTTGATGAATGCCTGTAGTTTGTTGGAAATGTTTTTGGTGACGAGCCAAGTTTCTGAACCACATAGAAGCACTGACTTGACTGACTTAGTAGTGGAAATCTGGATATTGTTGTTTATGATGAGTGGAGTACAGTGTAGTAGATCTCCACACTGATTCTTGGCAGATCAGTGAAGAAAGGTGTGTCTTCGTGTCTTCCCGACGTTGACTTTGACACCGTCATGTGTGCCGCCGTCCGTAGTTCAGATGGTGCTGCCTAGGTAGGTAGATAGGTAGGTGAAAGAGACAACTTCTTTCAGATTTCTCGTCTTCATGGTGATCCGTGCTTGTTGTTGTTATTAGTTGGTTGGATATCTTCATCACCTCTGTCTTCTTTACGGTCACCTGAAGGAAGTCCCGTCTTCGCTGCCTCTTTTATCAACTTGTTGGTTTCTACCTACAGATCTTCGAGTTTGTACGACTTCAGACATCAGACGTAAATCATCATCGGCAAAATCAAAATCTTCTAGAGTCTTCTCATCGGTCAGACAGCATATCCCCCTCTTCTAGCTCCTCACAGTTATCTGCTGCATGATCCAGTCCACCACAATCACGAAGATCATCGGTGATAATAAGCAACGTTGTCTTATCTTACTCCTGTCTTCACTTCAAAAGCATCACTGACCTTTCCACTGTGAATCACTTGGCATGGCATGTAGCATCATATAGCATATAGCTGTTGAATGAAGTTGATAAAAGTTTGTGTCACTAAAAGCGTAGTGTTCAAGCAGTTTCAAAATTACCTCTCGGTCGACGTTGTCGAAGGCTTTTTTCAGAATCCATGAGGTTGAGGTAGATAGTTGACTGCCATTCCATACTCTGTTCTATGATGATGCATAGAGTGGCGTTGCGATTTGGTCCCCACAAGATTTGTACTTCCTGAATCCAGCCAACCTGTTCTGCTCGTAGTTTTGAATCCAGTGCATCCTTTAGTCTTTCCAGGATGATGAAGTAGAAAAATTAATTTCTAATATTTGGTGACTTCGTGGAAGCAACTCCTTCGCCAAACGTGAGAAATTCATTTATCTGCTTCAACTGGATTTTAAAATTATATTTCTTTTGTTTACTCAATACTAAACTTGTTCAACTCTGTCAACTCAGAATTTCATTTTGAAGTTCAAAAGGATAAAGAAAGTTTGAAAGTGACATGACTACAATGATATGATTATGAGGAATAATTTATGCTCAAAGATTCATCAAGTAAATAATACTATATCACTATTTGTTATACGAAATCAACAAATTAATATAGAATTATAATCTACCGCAGAACCTAAGGTTTACTCTGAAATACTCACCATACACTTTGGAAAATCAAAGTGCCCCATATCTAAGTATCGTGAAATATTATTCAGATTACACTTTGATTTTAGTAGCCTTGATAAGATTTGATCACATTTATCAATCTCATCAGTATTTGTCAAATCTGATAGGTCATAACCATCATCATCACCGAGGATTATTTCGTCCTCTTGAAAGATACCATCATCATCATAATCATCACCGGCACCATCATAGTTATTCGCAGAGGTACTGCCTGTTGATATTTTTTTCTTACAAGAGAGGTGGTTAGTTTCATCATTACCAGGACATATTGAATAGAACAGTGTACGATCAGCTAATAATTGACGTAATTTATCCAATATTAAATTCGCTGAACGCTTATGCTTGAGTATAGACAGATTGTCAATCCAAAGACTTAGTTTTGTTGCTCCACCAGTAGTTGACAACTTGAGTGGATTTGAATCGTGTTTTTGTTCCTTAATAGGTGTAGTTTCATCTGTTAAAAATCCAGTAGTTCTACCAACGCCAATTAATTGAAGAATAAATAATGTTAGTGGTGTAATCACTTCTGATTTATCTAACTCTCGTGCTGATGGTAAACCTGCAGTGAAACGTCCATCAATTAATTCCTTGACTAATTCATTATTAAACATTCCTGAACCACTATCAACGCTATTGTCATTGATTACCAGATCAATAATGCGTTTACCAGTATTTTTTGATTTACTGCCTTTGGACGATGTTCGAGTGATGTATAAACCAAAGAAATAGGTATACAATTCTTGAAAGCATCAGTCAATTGTGCACATGAACTCGGAACTAAACATCTTCAGGACTCTCAACATAATCCTCATTTTTATGCTTATCTATATCCGTTGGAGCAATTAAAGATACATGTAAGTATGGTGTAACATGCACAAGGGATGCTGGAGTATTTTTATCGCCTACAAATAAGTTATGATTACATTCATGTTCATCAAACTCTTCGAGCACCTGACACTGTAATAATGAAAAGAGAAGTGAACAAAAAAAAGAAAAGTGGTGAAAAAAAAGGATACAATAAAAAGGTGAATGTATAACGCGATTCATTTAACACTTCATAGTTAAAAATTATGCAAATCTTGTGATAACACAAAACATCGTTTACCCAACTTACACTACTCACTATAGAGTAAGTAGTAAGACACACCAGATTAAATTCTCAATTTCTACAATGCATCAGGAACGTGGTTGAGAAGTATAATAAAAAAAACGTAATAAATAGATTGACCATAGACAGAGGAACTGAGAATTTAAACGTGAAGAATTCATGCTGTGTCGAAGGATTGATATAATATGAAACCAGTTAGAATCACCTGCGTTATACAAGGATAGTGGATGGAAGTTAACAATATCACACCCGATATACCATAGGTGAGAGGCACCAACACCTGCAAGAAAAAAGAAGCACGCTCAAAGCGAGAGCTTACTGTCTTAGTAGTACTGTCTAGCCATCAGTGGAAAAGAAAAGAGCTACAGACTGTTCGATTGCAGACAATTTAGAAAATTTAATCCTCCACATCGCAAAAGTGAGGGACTAAACAATTTTCTAAAACTGGAGATATACCAGTAAATTTTAAACTACAGGCAGGTAGGCCTAAAGCTGTTACATCAAAATCCGAAACCAGTTGTCAAACTGTTTACTTTTAATTTGGGAAAAGTTGGAAATCTGACGGTCGATATGAAAGACATAGAAGATAGACAAAATCAACCCAGAACTTCGCATGGAAGTACATTGGTCCAACTGGCCACATTTTACAGCACTATGAGAAGAAAATGTCGATAGGAAGTAGACAGAGATGTATGGGAGGAAAGGGAATTTGAATATCAAGGTTACGGAAAATGTTCAAACTATAAAAGACGTCAAAGAGTGAAGACATTTCAGCCATCGTGATCGATTTTCAGCCATCATCTACAGTCTGCAACCAAAGATTTTGGCTGTTATTCGGACAACAACCAGGAAGTTCACATTCCTCTTCATGTATTGGACCAACAGTCAAAGGCTTCAGGGATCGATGTCATGCTTTATTCTGGCTATCTCCAATACTTTTCTAGTCGATGAAAATTCAAAACCTGATGAACTGATTTTTCTCTTCTCCATAATGGCCATATTTCACAGACAAATAGGATAAAAAGAACTGCAGCACACGCAATCCTTAATAGCCAACGGTATACCACGGTGGTGTTATTAATGGCGTAAGGTGACGAAAGTCAAGCAAGTGTTGGAGATCCGTGAAGAGATTTCATCAGTCGCTGACCCAACACGACTGATGCAACTTTTCAGGTAAGTGAAACTATCAACTCCACCAATCACTTCACCCCCAATTAGAAGACACGGCACCAAAGCACATCAACCTGGTAATAACAATTTTTTATTTGGATGGTGAGAAACTCATCCCACAGATTATGAAATTGCAACTCAAGGACCCTTAGTACTTAAATGACTGCATCATTTCGGCGTCTAAACCTACGAGGGATTTATCGTCTGTGTAACCTAAATCTACTATGGAGTCCCCTGTGAATAAATTGCTCTTTCTAAACACAAACTATGAGGAAAGGAAGGTGTATATAACCATGCCTATGAAAAAAATACAAAGAATATGCAGAGTGGACATCCTTGACGCACACCGCCCGACGTACACAATTCGCCTAATAGTGCACTATCGGCTCCTAACACGGTGTGCAAATACAGAGCCTTCAAAAGGATAGTGTACTGACTCAGTACCCCTTCCAGTGAGGAATTACCATAAGACCTTCCGATCGACAGAGTCGAATACTGCCCTCAAGTTGACAAATGCAGCTAGTAGCCGACGAGAAGCAAGTAACATCGCAACGGCGAAAGTCAGTCAAGGAATAAAATAAATTAAATATCTCATATTATGAGCTTCAGCAGCATACAGGAATGATGAAATGATGAAGAGGACGAAGATAAGCTAATAACATGCAATAATTTCTAGTTAAACATTGTAGAATATTCACTATCACAATACATCCTCCAGTGTATCTATTTACTAATGGAGCCTTCTGTGCTAGAATAGTAAAATAAATTATTTCACGTCATTCAGAAACATTTTACGCTAGAGGTTGCATAAAAATCAGCGTCAATTCAATAAGCGTTGCAATGATACTGGGTAATGATGGGACGTGAAGTGAAAATGTGGGCCACAGCACGTTTCGAACCATGCAGTATCAATACAAGTCGGCTAAACCAAGTTATTGCAGATAGTTAAACTAATAATCAATATGATGCTCCATCTCTGTAATTTACGTTGATTTAGGTTGGTATGAGAAGTCTTAGCTGGATGTTGACTGAAGTTGAGATGAAAACTTGGACCGTGGCGTGATTCTAACCAGCGATCTCCGGGTGACCTGCTAGGTGCTCTACCAACTGAGTTATGAAACCTAGCTGATGACCAGATTTTAATCTCACTTCAACTACCAAGGGTTTTACCCGAATACTGTATCGACTCGTGATGCGTTAGTAGCGCATGGTTGTATACGCCTAGAAAGTAGTGCAAAGTGCAGTAAAATATTTTCCCCGGTGTTATGAGTTATCGTCGAGTAATTACACTTTGTCAATAAGAAATATATTCAACTATCTTGAATTGTATTCATCCGGAAAATTACGACATAGATGCGTTGAACTCATACAATCCTGCTTGATATCAATATCTCTCTCGAAGTTAACAAAACCGAAACTTAGCAACATTCCCAAGACATCCCGGACTATTGGATTTTGTGGTAAAGCAAACATTAAAGGTATCTGATTGGGTTCTGTTAGAGACGCTTTTTGAAATAGCTCAACGTAACTCACGCCTCACTGAACTTTTTTTACTACTGATTCTTTTGTTGTTTCCTAATGTGGTAACCTGAATCTTGTTGTAGTTAGTTATGCGTCCAGCATTAAGTTTAAACAAGCTGTGTTAGATAATTCCATCCTTAAATAACATTAAAGAAAAATCATTGCTTGTTTAAGGACTCTTTAAAGATGCATAAAACGGTAACACTAAGTGAGACGGATTACTAGAATCTAAGGATGATGTGACTCATACTTAACATTTCATATTTTGGTCTATGTGACACATATTCCTATGCTTCAATTATTAGTCAGTGTTAAGGGTGTGACACAACTAATATCACTGGAGAGTTTCCTTCGTTACATATGGTTAAGACTGTGATAGATCTCCGTGTGTGTGAAGTAAAACAACCGCAAATTCTCATCCGGAAGTCGGACTCAAGCTTATTTATGAAAAATAGCTCAGAATCCAAAGGTAAACGATATGTCTTTAAATGTTTGTTCAACCGTTGTGGTGTATTGAAAATAAAAGACGAATAGGTCGCACATGACATTATAATCGTTACACAATTGTGTGTCTGGTATGACCCAAAACTGTTTTGTAGAACCTTGGATGCATTAAGATCAATTTTATATCCCATTTCAATTGAGTTTAATACCATCATCGACCTGTTTTCCAATTTCTCAACATTTCTTGCAATTTTTGGGGTCGTCCTTGGATACTTTAGTCTTCCTTACTTTGGATTTCTCACCTGCACATACTGCATTACAATCAGTGCATTTTATTTCACTTGTAACTTTCTGATGATCTTCCTATAGTTTTAACCCTTGAAAATTCATCAAGGCAGACTATTCACAGCACGAAAAAAAAACCTTAATATTGTAGTTGTCAACAGTTCTTATTTTTGTAGTTATTGTAGTTATTCACTTCTAATGAACACCAAATCAACTTCAACACTGTTTCTTAAGCTTTTACACAGTAACATGACGACGAGTTCAACTAATTGGATTTCCAGTGACTGTTATGCTTTTTTGGTTAAAGGATGTGTCAACTGATAGTTGAGGTATCTGTCCAAACATGTTAACCTTTTAAAAAAAACCATTTCCCTAACTACCTTGTTATCTTTTAACTGTATAGTCCGAAGAAATCATTTTTTTCCAAATTGGATTCAATTTCCTTGAAGAGAGGAATACATTTACTAACTGACTATTTCTAGGTAAAAATCCCGACAAGATTACTGACACCAATTAGAGTTGGTGTGGCTGATAAACCAACAAATTCCCTTCGAACCATATTATGCCGACCAACGAACGCAACAACTAAAGTAGACAAAACCAATTATCATATACAAAATCAGCTACAATAATTGTGATCAATACTACACTGGACAAAGTGATCATCCTCATCGCCTTCGTTTACATGAAAACCAAACGGTTACTAAACGTCACGATATTTCATCACTCATTTCAATACACGTAGATAACTATAGACATGAATTCAATCTTGACAATGTAGAAATCTTGGACAGAGGAAACAGAAGGAATATCAGAGAATTCCTAGAAGCTTGTCATTCACGTCAGTCAGCAATCAGTAGATGTATACACACAGACCAAATCTGTCAACCAATGAAAAAGTGATAAACTACAGAGACGTCAGAGGTCAAGGAGAGGAGAGGAGAGGAGCAGCCAACAAGAAGATTTATGCAGTGAATAACACAACAATCAAAGGAAACAACCAATTACTAACCACTTCGTTAGAGCAAGCTACTGAATCTCCTCACGAAGAGGCATTCATGGCTTACTTCATAGTGAAGTTAGTGCTGATGATGTTGGTGTCTAGCAAGACGACCAAATAACCCAACTCAGAGAACGCAATACAATCAAGCCAGAAACGTTTACCCAATTTACCATGCTTAAGAATAGGAAAATAATACCGTCTACGTAGTCTAACTGGATTTTTTGAAGAGTAAAACACTTCAAAACTGCATAAAACAAACTCACAACTCCATCGAGGGTCCCATTGCTATGCCATTTGTCCAATTGTAGAGATCACTTCTTAATGTAAATACTGTTTTCTTGTGAACAACACAATTTTAGAAACTTAAACAATTTCCCTTAGATCTAATAAGTAACGTGATTTTGAATAGGTTAAATAGGTTATAAATAATGTTCAACGCATCTTTGACAGGGATATTGATAAATAAAGAATATACATAAAAAATTGCTACTATTTCATTTCCTTCAATACAAATTGAAACGACTTCATTCGTGAACTCAGACAAACAATTTTCTAATCCATAGTCCTGTTACGTGAAGAACCCGACTAGAGACAGAGTCTTCTGAACACTTTCAGTGGCAATTTGATAATGTTTGGGATGCGTTCCCTACCACCCAAATGCAAATTTTCGCTTCAGAATTGGTCTTCAACGGTGCCTCGGCTAACAATAGAGAGTGTGTCGACCACTTCACTTACCTGGGAAGTAGGATCAGCCCTAGTGGCTCTGCACAGATACAAAACGCTCGGTTGGCTTTCGTTAACTTACGCCACCTATGGCGACGCCGTGATATCCGACTGTCCATCAAGGGTCACATGCAATGCACAGCAGTCCGCTCAGTTCTACTCCATGGCTGTGAAACATGGCCATTGAAGGTGGAAGATATGAGAAGGCTTCAGGTGTTTGACTACTGTTACCTTTGTAACATACTCCCTGTTTCCTGGTGTCACCACTTAAGTAATGCAGAAGTCAGGTGTAGAGTTTTAGGGAAAGCGAAGAGGCAAGTCATTTGACACGGTTGTGAACTTACATCGACTAAGATAATTGGGGCATAGTGACCGATTGTCTCATCACACAATATTCGTCAAAGTAGGTTCAGGCTGGAAATAGGTCCGAAGCGACAAGACTAAGACATGGCATCAATGCACGAAGTCTTTGACTGTTGGTTTGAGCCATGTGCTGTGATGCACACTAGCTGGTTGGGGTCCCCGGGACAAGAGAAACCAGTGGTTGGAGACTCTAGGTGGTCACATGGTCCAGAACCAATGTCAGTGGGGCAGATGTATCTCAACACGCATTATCCTCATTTTAACGCCATACCGAATCTCACTATTTTCTTTCTTCCTTTCTCTCTTTCGTGCCTACTTTTCTTTTGACTGAATTTTTTTTTCTTCATCTTTCACTTTATTGCCTTTTTACTTGATGTACTGATATCAGCTGTGGCAACTCGGACCGTTACGTAGTAATGCCTGGTTCTATGTTGATGATGATGAATCCATAGTTTAATTCCTTTCAACATGGTCTTCAGATTTGAGGTGTGATGTGTGCTGGGTTGTTCAACTCAGCTGAGAGAACACGCTACAACCAATACCATCCACCTGAGCTACAAATATTCTCCAGTAATGAAAATTAATAATCCAGGCAATATGGAGGCATCTGCGCAGTAGACGATAGGCAAATAGAGACCGATTAACTCGGTTCAACCGACGACGGGATAATACAAGCAACATTAAACAAATGATACCCGTCACACAAGTGTCTACCGTCACTCTGTGGCCTAGTAGACAATTCTCTGGCGGTTGAAGCTGTCGGTCTTAGGTTCGAGGTTTAGTGGGAACAACATGGCCCACTGGGAGGCAGATACATCCAGCCGAACAGGACGAAACGCATATAGATTATACTGCTAGTAAAAATCTACCATTAATATTAAAATCGAAACTATACGCAATATTGAGGCATCCACGCATGAGCTTATATGCCAATGGAAACCAATCAGTTCAATCCAATCATACAAGCAATACCACAACCGATCAAAGTAGGACATTTACCTTGTGGATTTACAGTATCAAGTTTCTCTTTCAGAGATTGTATCATTATGCTAGTTTCAACATTTAGTTAGTTCAACATGCTTCGCATTTCTTTGTAAACACGTTGATTTTGTCATAAGGACGAGGTAACAAAGTGTTCCTTTACCTTTTTTCTCCTAGTCAGTTGGATTCATTATAAGTATCGCATTTCTGTTATTCTGTTTCAGTGATGACAAAGGCTTCGCCTTTATACAATAGCTCTATGACAAGCAGTTCAATATAGTCTACATTTGAAGTGTTGTATTTTAAATGTCAATGTATTTGCCACTCTATGTGGAAAGCTTCGTATACAGCTGGTTCAATCGTAAACGCGATTTCATAAGCAGATAAACATTAAAATTACGATTTTTTTTAAAGAAGTAATAGTTCGTAATCAGTTAAGTTTTGATTCTATTTTATACGAGTTTGCTTGTTTGTTTTCGTTTATGTTTTCATATGGCTTTCTTTAATGTATGTGTAGTCATAAGTTTTAAGTACATAAATCACTACCTTCTAACCGTTAAATATATCAAGTACTGCAATTTGATATCACATTGGTTCGGTGGAATTAAATCACTGACAGAGCAGACGCTATTTCATTACCATTTCCAGTAACTACGTGATCCCATTTGATATTTAAATACAACTTCAGCCGATCATTTTTACAAATGAGTGTAAATTTAACAAGATTCACTGGCGGATAAGTACACTCAGCTGAAGAGTCCCAACTGGGATGAAATATATCTTCAATTTCATTGTTAATCACTCTCCAACATTAATAACAGATGAATGTTGCAACTTACTTATAATAAATAGGTACGCACTTAAGAGAAATATGGAAAACATAAAAATACATTTAGTGTCTGAATGGTTACTTTTGCAAGTGATCTCTATATAAATCATATTTTTTAAAAGTGAAACAGGACAAGTCAATCAAAGGATGTTTAAAGGAGATAACCAAGGATCTAGTGAACGTCATTCAAGTACATTATACCAATGGAAGTAAAATATCGAACAAAAATATAACAAGAAAAACGAAACCTTCAATTCTGGCCAGCCCATCCCTGATCCTGACACACAAGGTGCTTTTCTAAGCCAAGGTTTGAAGAAATAGGTCCAAATTTGATAGGATAGTTGATAAATACGACCCTATAAACAACAAACAAGGGGCTGCTTGAGAATCATAATTTAAAGCACTTTACATATCTACGGTACAAAAAGTACTTACTTGAATGTTATCCATCCAGTCATCGGTTTAAATTACTGTTTAACTCAATGTAGGTTTCGAAAGAAAGAAAGTCAACATGGCCCAAACCACTTGTAAATGATTATCCAAATTATGACATACCATCAAGTTCAGTTAACCAGATTCGGTCGATTTGAACAATTCGAATCCCTGCGCTGAATCAATTCAAGTACAGCGCCAATAAACTCAGTCACAACTCACCGAAATGATCATCCAACTTCTAGACCATACTGATTTGGCACGCGAAATTCACAAATCATCACCAGTTGTTGCTAACTAATCATGCTAATAAGTAGCATATTTAAAGGAGACGAAGTGATTGCAGTGATCACGTTCGAATAGAGTTAATACATTGTATGCCCAGAATGCGGACACTGACGTCTACTTAGGCATCAACCAGGAAGTATAAGCTCATCAGGGACAGTGGGTCAGACAAACAAACTAAATCAACGTGGAACCTTGAACACAAGTGTATCGGCTGAAGTTGCAACAATTCACAGAAATATACAAAGAAAAAATCGATAGGAAAGACTGATATCAAAGTAGAAAAAGGTGTATAAGGAGAGAGTAAATTTAAAAACCTAGGTTAGTCAAAAAAGGCCAAGCCTTATAAGAAATTAAAGAATGAACACATCTATGCCACTATGAACGATTTTCAGCCATTTCACCACGAGTTCTCAACCAATGATTCATTACTGCTTAGGAGACCCCAGCCAAGTAGTCTACACCACACTACACAGTTAAGATTAACAGTTAGGGGCTTCATGCACTGATGACTTCTCTTAATCCATCTTCTATCTCAAAAGTAGTACCGCTTAATGATGGATGGTAACTAGCAGTGGAATCCAGAATGCGTGCCTCGTCCTATTTAGGACTCGTCAGCCGGAAGCACCTATCTCCCAGTAAGCGATGTTGTTCCCACTACGACTCGAATCCACGGCCGGTCTCTTCAAATGCCAGAGCGTTATCCACTAGGCCACGGAGTGATGATAGACACTTCTCGTGCAACAGGCACAGTTTTCAAGGTGTCGTTCGGATTATCCCATCGTTGATTGGACCGAATCGATCGGTCTCTTTTGGGATGTGGGCTCCTGGGTGTTTGAAGCGATAGGTTCTAGGTTCGAGTCTTGGTGGGAACAATATCACTTACTTGGGTGGGTGCATCCAGATAAACAATCCCGAATAGGATGAAACGCTAGTCATGAATTCCACTGCTAGCCACCATTCATTATTAATATCAACATTAAAACGACAGGCAATATCGAGGCATCCGCGCAGGAGCCGATATGCCAATAGAGACTGATCAACTTGGTTCAGTCAATGACAGGATGGTAGAAGCAATATCATATCACTTATTTCATTTAGATGAACTTTTTCGGGAGAACTAAATAACTGTACTGTCCCAGAAACAACCAATCGGAAGTGAGTGGAGATTGCCAATTGATTCTCGTTGGGTAAAACCATAGAGAATTTTTCTTATCGTTACAAGTAAAATAGTGTGAAGTTTGTTACCATTTATAAATTCGACGGTAAGAAATGACAGTTCACTTAGTGACTTAACTTCTACAGTCATAAATATTTAACACAGTTCACAAATTGAAGTTGAGGAAGTAAAATTAGGTGTCAATATCAAAAATTGGAAATAAAGTCATGATTTACGGGGGACTGGTAATGTATTTGGAATTAAGTAATAGGGTTTGGAGAATTGAATTTAAGGTTGTAGTTTAATGCTCAGGTGTATACTCTTATACCAGGTCGTACTATAATACGACTTCCTTGTCCTCGATTTCCCTCCCTTTGCAGAATTAGCAAATAGCAAACGAAAGTCGTGTGCAAAATAATTCCTTTAGATTCTACTCAATGTATCCTTGAATAATTTAGATGGAATCCTCGTTAACTTGAAATTAAGACAGGCTATTCAACGTCGTCAAATGAGTGATTTGGAGACGACGTAATTCTGGGGTTCCATCACTTTCTCCAAAATACACTTCATGAACTGTAGTAGTGAAATTGGAGAGACACTTCCCGATACAGGATACAGCTGGTTAAATCCTGAGAATTTAACACCTATGAACAGCATCAATGGATGAACAGTCAGTCAGTAGTCGTTTCCAATCCAGTAACTTGTGTCAACTGAAAAATTAGTTTATCATTCCGATACCATTGACTTTATACCCAATGGTTGCATTTCACTTCCCTCGTACAATAAAATAAAATTTTCATCTACCAAATGTAATGATATAAAGTAGGAGGTATGAAGCGGTCATAGAGCTCTGATCATAGGTGTCTTCGTAGCATTGCTCACGTTTGTTGGAATCACCGTGTAAGCAATGCTGAGGTTAGGCGAAGGGTACTAGGCAAGAAAGGCGAGTCGACTGATGAGATTGTGAGCCTTCGTCGGCTTAGGTGGATTGAACATCCCGATCAACCACCTAGCTCAACATGCCATGCTAGGGGAAGCGGGATTAGGTTGGCAGAGAGGTCAGGGTGGTCACATATGGCACTAGTTCATTGAGTTCCTGACTGTTGGAGATGTAGACTGGTTGGGGTGCCCGAGACGGTAGGAATTAGTGGTTGAGGACTCTTGGTGACATGGCCGACAATCCGTCACAATGGTGCAGAGGTGTCTCTCACCTCAATTTAGCACTAATGAGTGACCACAACAAAGCCTTTAAAGAACCATTTTTCATTAACGCCACAATTTATCAACTTATCATATTTCAAGTGTGTCTGTGTTACTTCTGCTGAGTTTTTACATATGATTTCAGGTTGGAATTCACCATAGATTGACATCAGTTGGAGGAACACTGGAAACCTAGGAGCAATGGACAGCTGTTTCGTCCCAGTATGGGACTTCTCAGCAGTGAGTACCTATGACCTCTCACCACCAGGGATCGAACTCAGAACCTTCACGTTCTGTGGCCAGCCCCTTACCATTGAGCCACTCCTATGGAATCCAATCGTCCACATTTCTTACTTCTGTCAGTTCACCATATACCGTGACCTACATCCAATGTCATCGTTGAGTAACTGTCCTCATCTTCGACTTGGTTGACTCCACCAGCCACCACTTTTCACTGGAGCTTCGGGAATCACCTCTCAAAGCTCGTCACCAATGAGCACTAGAATAATTCTATCTGAAGGTTTGTGGAGGTTTATTAATTGATTTTAGATTTGAATTCATCATGGACTGACATCAGTTGGAGAAACACTGGAAACCTGGGAGCAATGAACAGCTGTTTCGTCCTTGTACGAGACTCCTCAGAAGTGCCGAGTTCGATCCCTGGTGGGGTCATGGGTGCACACTGCTGAGGAGTAGTCCCATACTAGGAAGAAACAGCTCCCCAGTGCTCCCGAGTTTCCGATGTTCCTCCAACTGATGTCAGTTCATGATGAATTCCAACCTACAAACAATTAACCAACCTCCACAAACCTCCAGATAGAATATATGACCTCAGTCAAGCTTGGCTAAGACTTATTTACTTATCAAAATGAAATCAAGTGGTTCAGTCAAGAAGCTGTTACCTATAAATTCATTCACCTAGCCGTACAATTACATTTATATACAACTTTTGATAAGAATGTTGAATTTGTTCCATGTATGAAAGCAGTTTGTTAGGCATGAGCAACTACGTGATATAGAAATATGATTTTCATTCTGAAATAATCAAAATGCTTAAAAATATTAAAAGTGATAATGGAGAATATTTATAGCTCAGAGGATGATTTTGTGTTATCTAAGATGAAGGGTTGAATCGTGAAGCTTTCATTGTCATCCTAGAGATCATCAGCACAAACTTCAAAAAGAAGTAGTCAAGAGGCATAGTAACAAACAAAATTAAATTATAATGACATAAAAATGCAGGGTTACCAAGTTTAGTCAGTACTGTTCAAGATCTCATAGAAATTAAGTAAAAATGATTAAGTTTGAATGATGAATTGAGTAACATGATAAAAGATTAATATCATTATTTATCATTATTTGTCCCTCGGGTTCCTAATGGAACATAGGGCTTCAATAGCACGTCTCCAATGCGCTCTGTTCTCTGAAATCTTGTGAACCTGTATCCACCACAGCCCACAAGCTCTCATTTCCTCCTCGCACGATCTTCTCCATGTCACCTTCATCTCCGACGCCCAACTCATCACTTCCCATCGGGGTTCCACTCGAGGGCCTGAACTGGCGCGTGATGTCTCCAATCAGCCTTCTCAGTGTATGCCCAATCCATCTCCACTTCCTTCCAATGCATATTTGTTCAGCGATGGGTTCTTGCTCTGTTGGTTTGTCAGTGTAGGCAGTTGTTGATGTAATGTATGTCTGTAGTTTGTTGCAAATCCCTTTCGTAACGCGCCAAGTCTCTGAACCATTCAGAAGCACTGACTTCACTGGATTGTTGTTGAAAATCCGGATATTGTTCACGCTTTATGCTGAGTGGATTGCGGAAGATCTCCACACTGGTTTCAGGTTAATGAAAGCCTGTCTTGCTTTTCCGATCCTGGCTGGCTTGACGTTCTTGTCTGTGCCACCTGTAGTTGAAACAATGCTTCCTAGATAGGTGAAGGAGGCTACTTCCTTTAAGTTTCTCCAACTGATGGTGATTGGAGTTTGTTGGTGTTGGTGTTGTTGTTGGTTGGGTATCATCATCACCTCTGTCTTCTCTACATTCACTTGAAGTCCCGTCTTCACTGCTTTACTTTTTCTATCAACTTGTTAGTTTTCACCTGTAGATCTTCAAGTTTGTGCGACATCAGACACAAGTAATCCATGGCGAAATCCAAGTCTTCTAGGTTCTTTTCCCCTGTCCAGCCAGCGTATCCCCCTCTTCTCGCTCCTCACTGTTTCATGCATGATCCAGTCCAGTCCAGTCGACCACAATCAGGAATATCATGGGTGACAGTGGGTGGCAGCCTAGTTTTACTCCTGTCTTCACTTCAAAAGTATCACTGAGCTTCCCATTGTGAACTACTTGGTATGTGGCGTCTTCATGCAGTTGTTGAATGAGGCTGATGAAGGTTTGCGGTATTCTGTAGTATTGAAGCAGTTTCCAAATTACTTGTCGGTCGACGTTGTCGAAGGCGTTTCAAAGTGGATGAAGTTGAGGTAGAGAGTTGACTGCCATTCTATACTCTGTTCTATGATGATGCGTAGAGTGGCGTTGCAATTTGGTCCGCACATGATTTGTACTTCCTGAATCCAGCCAACCTGTTCTGCTCGTAGTTTTGAATCCAGTACATCCTTTAGTCTCTCCAGGATGATGCGACTTAACATTTTGCTTGGGGTGGACAGCAGCATGATTCCGTGCTATTTCTTGCAAAGACTCAGGTCGCCCTTCTTCGGGAGTTTCACGAGGTATTTCTTCTTCCAATTGCCAGGTACCTTCCCTTCCTTCCACACCTTCTGCAATAGTGGTGTGAGCATGTCCGCTGTTGTCTCTGAGTCTGTTCTCAGTGCTTCTGGCGGGATTCCATGTAGTCCTGCCGCTTTCCCGCATTTCAGTTGTAATCAGGGTGGGCACAGAAAAAGATAGTTGATAATATGAATGGAAACAAAGAGTTAGGGAGAAGAGTCGTTTAGAAACGCTAAAGACCATGAAAGGAGCAAGGGTTGGACAAGTCTTTTTTGTATGTATTATAATGTGCAATAAGATTGCCAAGATCTTCATATGAAACCCTAAATCTCTGAAGGAGTTCACAACCAGTCCCTTTGCACCCAAGTTACGAGAGAAAGCACATGAATTAATGTCTAAATACGAGGTTGGTTGAACAGGTGAAATTCTATGAGATACAGTATTCCAAAAAACTTTGAAAACAGTCAAGGTCGTTGCCAATAAATATAAACTGTTGAATTTTGTATACATTTTCACGTTGAAATACCCCTGTTATATTACCGCCTTTTTAATTTACCGGAGAACTGAATGACCATCAAGGCCGGCATCTGAAGCTCAAGTTGGATTGCTAAAGCTTCAGCAATACAAAGGAGGAAGATGCGCACAGAGTTTTCACTTCGTAACTAACTTTGATTAGTTAGTAGAAATGGGGGTGAATCAATCAGAAGGTCTATTCACAGGAAGCTAACTTGGAAAGTATAATACTTCAGTTGCAGTGGTTACTATCCTATCCAATACACGCGTGGCATAATTAGCTGTTTATTTAATACGATTGATCGTATTTACCCAGATAATACACAAGAATTGTAAGTCAAACTGATGACGCTACACACTGGTGCAAAATGGATATCCATCAAAATTAATCAAAAGGTGTAACATCGGTATGACAATAAGAGCAACTAGTCAGTATTCAATGCTTAGGGAAAATGTCAACATCATATTTCCACACACACATACACACACATATATATATATATACATACATACATACATACATACATACATACATACATACATACATACATACATACATACATACATACATACATACATACATACATACATACATACATACATACATACATACATACATACATACATACATACATACATACATACATACATACATACATACATACATACATACATACATACATACATACATACATACATACATACATACATACATACATACATACATACATACATACATACATACATACATACATACATACATACATACATACATACATACATACATACATACATACATACATACATACATACATACATACATACATACATACATACATACATACATACATACATACATACATACATACATACATACATACATACATACATACATACATACATACATACATACATATGTATGTATGTATAACGATATTACATCACATGTTTCAGATAATCTTTATCTACTAATCATGGTGTTTTAACATGAAAACTTCTAAACATAAACACTAGATTTCTGAATGGTTAACCACTGTGAACAACAGAGAACCTGAAACAATGACACATGAGTTATCATGAGTTATCACAAGAAATTAAGCATAAAAGTAACAAACTTAAACGAACTGGAGAAATGCAATATGCTATAAACTAAACATCTATTCGAGGTTGAGAATAAAAGATGAAAATTGAGCACAGCTGAGCTGTTGGATTTGATTTCAAATTCTCTATATGGTTAAGATTAACTGTCAAATTAGAAGACCAAAGTTAATCCTTAACCAATATTTTAAAAAGAGATAACTTACTAACCTTCGATTCCTTTAAAGCTTCAATGATATACAACAACTGTGAAACCAATTCAGGTTTGGCTAATATCTTAAGACTAGCCATAATCGATGATTGTTCATACGCCTGTGTAGTTGGTTCACCATAGTCAGAAAGGTGATAGAAACTTGAATCTAACAAGGGATCTTCTTGTGTCAAGATTTTATGCATATCTGCAGGTGGTCGTATGCATGGATCCAACAAAAAGCTGAAGAAATCATCTGACTGAGTTTGATTAACACTTGGTAAGAATGGATCATCATCATTTCTCTGCTTTGAAGGCACTTCTAGGATGAACCATCGACTCCAAAACTCGTCAACATGTTGAGCAAGCATATCCTTAAAAACAAGAATCTACAGTTATTTACTAGTGATATGCATTATTTATAACAAACAAAGAAGCAAACGTAGATAGTAAGTTACACAAAATGACACAAGTGAGTGTGTAGATCATCTTAACAAATGAAGTAATTTATTTGAATTTATTTTGGAAAAATCAACAAACTCACTCATTTTTTTGATCAGAAAAGTTGATTTTTCTTAAATTAAGTGATTCACAAACTAAATGTAGCTTCGTGCACCATGCTATGATACCACGTAACCGTCGAGACGACGATGGAAGCGGTAAAGTTCAAACTTGTGACCCACTAGTACAGCCTAATCGAAATACCAGTATTATTAGAGGTGAACAGAATTGACAATTAGTGTTGAGAATGGTAACGCATAACTCGCTAACCTCTAGCATAGAATCTTTCAAATAATCTAAAGTGGAAAGTACCCGTTACAATTTAGTCGATATCAGTATGGAACCTTGCATTACTGCATAACTGCAGCATATCAAATGAGAATGCACCAAGACGAAAGATGAAGAAGTGAAGAAGAAATCAGTCACAAGTGGTACAAGGTTGTGAAAAGAGGAGTGAGAGAATACTGAGACTCACTATGATGATAAGGATGTTGATAATGTGTGGATACATTTGCGCCATTGAGAGAGATTCTGAGCCACATCGCCTAATCTCAAAACATCTGTTTCTACAGTTACGCGGACAACAACTGGGAAGTCTACATTTCCCTACACGGCTCAGGTTAACAGTCAAAAACTTCATGGACTGCCATTTTTTGGCTGGTCACTTCTAAACTTTATCCAACCTGGACCTACATTAGCTAACAATATGCAACGGGACAGACGGCGACTAGGTAGGAGTAATACATATTCCACCCATCTGAATCGATGAAGGTTAGAAACTTCACCAACTGACGTTCCTTCTGCCGAAAACTTTATGCTTGAGTTCCGCATTACAACATATGGTCAATGGTACGAAGATAATGGTCCCCGAACACCTTAAACCTTTTCAACTCTCCTACTTTATGGCCATGTTACACAAACAAATAGTAGGATGGAAAGAACTGCAGCATAATATACACAGTCCTTAATAACTAGTCAGATATCACGGTGGTGCGATAAGTGGCTTAAGTTGACAAAAGTCAAGCGACTTCATTGTATTCGAGCGGAGATTTCATTGGTCAATGACCAACCACAGCTGATTCAACTTCCCAGATAAAAGGAAATATCAACTCCACTAGTCACTAGTCACTACCAATTAAAAGACAAAATATAAACGCAGACCAGTCCTCCAGGAATAATCTGCACCAACGTGGTAAGTTGAAAAGTTGAAAAACACTCAGTAAAACTTGCACATATTCATGTAGTAGCCAACCAGCCATACTTATTCTGTAGAGACTAATGACACCTTCTGGCTGTCTAAACCTCGGTAAGGAGAGCGAGGTTTTAACTCATAAACCATAGGTAGCACCCTTGAAATTCTCAGATCGCAACTCCATGTGTTTAAAACCTCTGTATCTTCCTATTGTCTGCACCAACAGCAACATAATCATCTGCGTACTCCATCAGATCTACTGAGTCTCCTTGAAAAAAATCACTTCCTGTAGACAGGACGAAAGGGACATGTTCTAGGTTGTATTGCGTTCTCTGAGTTGGGTTATTTGGTCGTGGAGCTTTCATCGTCTTGCTAGACACCAACATCATCAGCACTAACTTCACTATGAAGTAAGCCATGAATGCCTCTTCGTGAGGAGATTCAGTAGCTTGCTCTAACGAAGTGGTTAGTAATTGGTTGTTTCCTTTGATTGTTGTGTTATTCACTGCATAAATCTTCTTGTTGGCTGCTCCTCTCCTCTCCTCTCCTCTCCTCTCCTCTCCTCTCCTCTCCTCTCCTCTCCTCTCCTCTCCTCTCCTCTCCTCTCCTCTCCTCTCCTCTCCTCTCCTCTCCTCTCCTCTCCTCTCCTCTCCTCTCCTTGACCTCTGACGTCTCTGTAGTTTATCACTTTTTTCATTGGTTGACAGATTTGGTCTGTGTGTATACATCTACTGATTGCTGACTGACGTGAATGACAAGCTTCTAGGAATTCTCTGATATTCCTTCTGTTTCCTCTGTCCAAGATTTCTACATTGTCAAGATTGAATTCATGTTTATAGTTATCTACGTGTATTGAAATGAGTGATGAAATATCGTGACGTTTAGTAACCGTTTGGTTTTCATGTAAACGAAGGCGATGAGGATGATCACTTTGTCCAGTGTAGTATTGATCACAATTATTGTAGCTGATTTTGTATATGATAATTGGTTTTGTCTACTTTAGTTGTTGCGTTCGTTGGTCGGCATAATATGGTTCGAAGGGAATTTGTTGGTTTATCAGCCACACCAACTCTAATTGGTGTCAGTAATCTTGTCGTGATCTCTGATATATTCTTTATTTACAGCAGGATAATGCGTTTTTTTGATTTCTGTTGATGACCGTAGTCGATGATACACGTGATAGGAATCGTGGGAGGCCATTTTTTTTTAAGATAGAGATCAAGTATATATATATATATATATATATATATATATATATATATATATATATATTCAGTTAGTGGTTGCTGATATCCACTTACTTGGGAGCTATAGATAGTCACCATTCGAGGTATAATGAATCAACTAGTCCAGTGCCATGAGTCGAAATCTTTATGATCAGAAATGGATTCAGTACCCCATTACGCTGTTGTTCATAAAAGTGCACTGACAATAAAGTTAATAATAATAGTAATAATAATAATAATAATAATAGTGCGCTGGGAAAAGTAAACAGTTATACCTTGCATCGTGTGTATGTTTTCAGGAAATCTTGGAAAATTAGTAGAGAATCTTTATTAAACTTCGTCTGTTGAGAGAAGAGATCTTCAACTGTTTCAAGAGATTGTATAATTGTATTAACGCATAAACTGAACACAAAAAAAAAACAAGTAGTTTTTAAGAGTAAATTAAAATGTTTAACAAACTACAAAGTATTAGAGTAGATATCGAACATTACTTCTATTTTTTATTTGAGTCGTAGTATGCTCATCTACAGGTTGATTTAATAGTTCATATACATCTTGGAAGTTATGATAACAAGGTGCCTAATAGTTCAATGACACCACATAGAGAAAATGAATCACAAAACAAACTTATTGCATACAAAGTCTCTACACTGTGAGGACTTTCTTTTAATTGCTTTCAAACAATGGTGGTAAAATGCGCAAGTAAAAAGTGAGTACTGGTGACACCGGTCTCTTTGTCACCGTCTAGTCGGTATCGCCTCTTTCAAAGCACGACGTCAATAAGGATTATTTTAACCGTTTTCGGAAGAAACCAAATGCGATCATTTCCAACTATAAAAGGATCATCAAATTTGTATTTGTTTATTTTCCATTTAAATCACTACTTTATATCTCCTAACAAATATTTGTTTTATATATGTAATATAAACCTCGTCCAGGTAACTAGTTCACTAGTTACTAGACGGTCCTAAGCCAGGGTAAAGAGGGGAGGTTGGATATAGGGCTAGCAACCCTACTCCGTAAAACCAATCCAACCTCCACAGAAACTTCAAGGCACAGACAAAATATAGAAAATAAAAACAAACTTGTTCCTCACTGGGATCGGAATGACACCAATTGGTGAAAGCCTTTGGGAAGCCAGTCGGCCAATGTGTCGCCTCTTCTCTCGATGAAAGAGAAAGTAAGAATGGGGACATGGAATGTCCACATAATGTTTGAAACTAACAAGGCTGCCCACATTGCCAAAGAGATGAGAAGGTATAGCACAGAAGTGCTAGGAATCTGCGAAGAATCTGCAAATGGAATGGAAGTAGACTCTCCAAACTGTCAACTGAAAACTCAATAATCTACTCCGACATTGTCACCCAGGCGACAACCATGAGCACACTGAGCTTTGGAGTGGTTATCATGATGTCCCCTTCAACAGGATCGAAGGCTCTCATGCAGTGGGAACCAATCTCCTCCAGGATAACCTTCATGACAGCAACATTCAACTCAAAAGAAAGGAAAGTCACAATCAGAATGCTACGCTATGCACCCACAAATAATGCAGATCAAGAGAAAAAGAAGGGATTCTACAAACAACAGCGATCATTAGTGGACAAGACTCCAGTTGGCGACATCAAAATTCTAATGGGCGACATGAATGCCAAACTGCGAGCGGACAACACAGTAAGAGAACTCATTATGGGTCGAGAGGCACTCGGTGAAATGAACGAGAATGGAGAACTGTTTGCAGACTTCTACGTTTTCATTGATTTGGTGATTGGATACAGTGTGTACAAACACATGGATATTCACAAAGTCACAAGGATTTCACCAAATGGACACACTAAGAATCAGACCGACTTCATTTCAATCTCAAGAAAGTGGAGACGCATCATACTGGACAAAAGATCAAGAAGAGGAGCAGATGTAAATTCACACCACTATCTAGTGCAAGGAACCTAACTTCCAAATCAAGTTGAAAGCCTTCGCAGAAGTTGGTGATAGACCACAGTTCAAGTATAACACCCAGGACAGAAAATGAAGGACGAAACTACAAAGGACATCTTCACAGTAGCCATCAAGACAAAATGGGAGATACCGAGCAACATCCCTGAAGAAACGTGTGTGGAAGAACACTGGAACTCTTTGAAAGCTATGTGGAAGGAAACCTGCATAACCGTATTAGGAAGGAAGAAGAAAGAAGATACATGGAAGCTGATAGAGAAGGGAGAGGAGGATTGTGAAGCAGAAGATGAACCAGTGCAAGGATGCACAATGAGAAGAGGAGCTGAATACAACCTATAAAACACTACACTGAACAAAGAAGTGAAGAAGAGTGTACAGAAAGACAAAAGACACTTCCACGACACACTCGCAAGTGAAGCAGAACAGGCTGCTGGTAGGAGAGATAGTCACCTGACAACACTATATCAAATAACCAGGTGACTATCTGGGAGGGGAAAGATCAACGCAGATGAAATCAATGAAAGATAATGAAGGAAACTTAGTTACCAAAGAGGAGAAACAAAGGGAACAGTGAGCTGACCACTTCGAAAAACTCTTGAATCGACCACCAGCATCACCAACTGCAACTCGTCTAGAAATACCACCTGCAGCCCAACCGAAGAATAACCAGTGAACATAAGCCCTCCGAAAAAAGTCAAAGTCCTGAATGCCATAAAACTGCTGAAATCCGGGAAATCAGCACGACCAGATGGAATTCAGCCAGAAGGACTGAAAACACGCACAGATAACAGTGGACACACTATCATATCACTAGAGCAGGAGGTTTGGAAGGAAGGAAAAGTACCTGCAGATTGGAAGAAGGGAAACCTAAGTCCTAGCAGGAACTGCCGCAGCATCATGCTCCACTCTTGTCCACCCCAAACAAAATATCAAGCCGTATCATCCTGGAGAGACTACAAAATGCTCTGCATTCAAAATTACAACCGGAACAGGTTGGCTGGCCTCAGGAAAAACAAATCATGTACGGACCAAATTGCAACGCCACTCTACGCATCATCATAGAACAGAGTATGGAATGGCAGTCAACTCTCTCCCTCAACTTCATCCACTTCGAAAAGGCCTTCGACAACGTCGACCGACAAGTAATTTGGAAACTGCTTCAACACTACGCTTTTAGTGAAACAAACCTTTACCAACCTTATTCAACAGCTATATGCTATATAATGCTACATGCCATGCCAAGTGATTCACAGTAGAAAGCTCAGAGATGCCTTTGAAGTGAAGACAGTAGTGAGACAGGACAACGTTGCCTACTATCACCGATGATCTTCCTGATTGTGGTGGACTGGATCATGCAGCAGATAACTGTGACGAGCAAGAAGATGGGCATACGCTGTCTGACCGATGAAAAGACCCTAGAAGATTTGGATTTCTCCCACGATAATTTTTGTACAATGCCTTGTCGTACAGGTTCCAAGATCTACAGATGAAAGCCAACGAGTTGACAGAAGAGGCAGCGAAGACGGCACTTCAAGTCAACGTAGAGAAGACAGAGGTGATGAAGATACCCAACCAACCAACCACCACCAAAAACAACAAGCATTGATCACCATGAACGGGAGAAACCTAAAGGAAGTAGTTTCTTTCATCTACCTACCTACCTACCTAGGCAGCATCGTTTCAACTACAGGTGGCACAGGCAGAGATGAGGACGTCAAAGCCAGCATCGGAAAGACACCGAAACAGGCCTTCCTTCATTCATCTGAAATCAGTGTGGAGATCTACTGCACTCCATACAGCATAAACAACAAGATCTAAATTTTTAACACTAAGTCAGTCAAGTCAGTGCTTCTAAATGGTTCAGAAACTTGGCGCGTCACGAAAAGCATTTCTAACAAACTACAGATATTCATCAAAAGCTGTCTACGCTCACTCCATACTGAAGATCAGATGGGAAGGCCAGAAAGAATAAGCAACAAGGAACTCTGGGAACGAACCAACCAAGATCATATCGCCCAACAAATATGCAGAACAGGAAAGTGGAGATGGATTGGGCTTACACTGAGAAGGTCATTTTGGGATATCACCCGCCACGTCAGGCTCTCGAAAAGGACCCGAAGGGGAAACGACGAGCTGGGTATCCGAGTGTGACATAGAGGAGATTGTGTGAGGAACAAATGAAAGCTTCTGGGCAGTGGTGTAGCCAGGTTCAAAAAACTGTAGGGAACAGAGTGAAATGGAGACGTGCTAATGAAGCCGTATGTTCCACTAGGAACCCAAGGGACAAATAATAATAATAATAACAACTATATATATAACCCTCAAACTCTTCCCGTTCCAGGTAAACAGGAGTTTGAATGCAGCTCATCGGATTTCAATAGTATTCCTTTTATTTTTGCATTTATGCAGTCAATGACTTTAGTGATAATGATCTTCGGTTTACTCCCAAAAATATACTTAAACCAAGTCAACTTTCATGAAAAAAATTCTCTTAAGGTTTACAATACAGAGTGACGACTTCTTGAAGAATTCATAGTTTGACTGCAGATTTACAACAATTGTTAGCTCGGATTGTAATGCAACTCAACCCGGTACTAGTTTATAAGGTAGGCGCTATAAACCATACCTTTTGTAAGACCTTGTGGTTATACCCGGTTGCTCACATAGAGAAGCAGGCTAGGTGCAGCTTGACCCTAGGACCGACTAGTAGAAATTTAAGCTTCTAAACCAATAAGCTACGTTTTTGAAGTCCGAATTATTTGACAAGAACCTCCCTACTACTTACAAATACCTTGTGGCTTGATATTGCTGCTACTTATAGCATGAACTATGAAAGTTAATTTTAAAAAATAGGTGATTAACACTAAGAGGTTTCCTCCCATTAATTGCCAGTCTTATAGACATTGGTTAACTGTCTCTATCGAAGTGTTGTACATAATACTCAGCAGTCATGTGCAGCTTAAAAAACCTACATATTTTTATGAGCACCGCCACCATGTTCAACGATGGCAGAAATAGGTACAAGTAAAATCGAATAGTGATGAAGCCAATCTCCTCCCCACTGTTTATGAAACTTTATTTGATACCGTTTCATTTAGGGTATCATTACAAGAGGAATCATTCCAGCCAAGTAAGCAGAAATATGAGCCCTTTCATTGTTTTTAGTAAATGAATTAAGCTTAAGATTTCCATGCACTTAGTTCCTTTGGTAAACAAGAGCAAACACTATTGAACAAAGTGAATTCATTTCATTTTGTGTGCTCAAAACCGCTCAACTATTTTAAAGTTTGAATATAATTCCCAAAGGAATTAATAAGAATCTGAGAACGTATAGATTGATATGCTAATAAATCATCGAATGGAATCTATCAATCAACATATAAAACACTAATGGTAGTAGCACTGCTAGCAGACTGTGCGGTTACGATAACATGAATAATAGTAGTGAAAAGCAAACCTTGAATTAGTAGAAGATATTATTAACGTTATAGCTAATAACTTCCGATCGCTGATTGGAGCTAACTGACCGGCTAGTATTAGCTTGCGGGTTGCTGTGCGGACACCTACCTTCATATTGAATTTCATTGCTAGCCACTAACCATCATTCATATTATTAAGAGTTAAATAAATAAAACTGATGTTAGACTTAGATGAAATAATCAATACTAAGGATAATAATACAGCTCAAGGAGGTACAGAGGGGTGAATAGCTGGTCATTTTTTCGAAGATATTCCGAAAAACCTACAGCTTGAAGGACTGAATGGCATCAATAACTCACCTGCTCATAATTTGGTTGACATAATACATGTGGGGCTGTGGCTCATTGATTTAAGTAGATGACTTTTAACCAGTTGGTCTGTAGGTGTGAACCACGCTCCACCTACCAAGATTTGGACAGTCAAGTAGTCTCATTAACCCTCACACAATAGATGTGGCTTACACATGGTTGTTATGAGAGTTTGAGTGTGAGTTGAGTTATGCTCATGATGATCCTCCGGTTACCTTTTGCAATTGATAATCACTCTGGTTCCGAAATTATCGTGCAACTTAATATACAGTCTATGAATATTTAACTATTTTGTTTCAACCCTGCACTTTAAGCTTTGATGTTGCCCTTTAGCGCATCAGAGATTTTGAACTACGAAGTATGTTAACCGTTTCATGAATTAACTATTCATAGTCTGTAGGTAGATGAAGAAAAGTCAATGAAATTCAATGTGAAAAGTAAGTTTTCTTACTTTTGCATTTTTTAAACAACTGCTACAACTTATGTCATAAGAGTGGGAATTATTAAAGTTCGGGAATGAAAGGATGAAACTATTTGAAATTTCACTTTGTCTAGTCAATATTTGTGCAAACCAATGAACATATATTACAGTAAAGATAGAAAACAAATACTAACCGATAGGTTGTTTCACCTATTTCCGTATGTTCCAACAATATATTTGTTTTTCCCTTTGATTTGTTATCACCAATGAAGTCTACACAGTTCTCTTTATGATCAACTGTTGAGAGAGATGAGCATTGGGAAAGTAAATGATAAACCGAAGATTCTAAGCTAACTAAAGCTTCATGCAATTTAAGTAAATAAAAACAGTTGGCGTGCATATCCAAAAGTTCTTGAAGTTGAGAGACTGCATCTTGATGTACTGCCGAAGCTGATGATACTCGGTTATCGCCTTTATTTATTAAGTTGCACTGAACTGATTTAAGTCGAGGTATGACCTGAAATAAAAGACGGGAGAAACATGCAATTAGAAATAAGTTAGTGACATACTACACACAAAGAAAGCCAAGTTTTGCAACCCAAACAGACTGCTTCATAGAAAGCAAAGATAATAAGAAGGCTAAAATGAAGTTTTTCAAAAGTCAAACCAATCACTGTCCGACACAATATGTTCACTAAGGTAACCTATTTATGATTTATTTAGGAAATAAATTCTACCAATATGGGCACCAGGAGGTCCATCGCAAGATAGCCCAAGCAAGACAAGTAATCCATTAGTGTTATTTTGAATAATATTAGTTCATACTTTCATGTAGTAGCGAAGAGAATAAAACGACTTTGGATTAGTCTTCTAACCCCAATCTCTGGGGGAAGGTTCCCAGTCTAGAGTTGTATTGATTTTACAGTCTAAAATAATATGCACCTAGCGACTCTTTTACGTTTCCACTATATTAAGATACACCGCCTTCTAAGAACAACTCAATTCCATGCCCAGTTGAGAAAAAAAACCTGCTTAATAAATGTTTTTAGTGTTTCTTAATCGACGATATAACCGATGAAACCTAAGCTGAAACTTTTCTTGCAATTTCATTGACTTGCAGGTGGAGTGTAGCAGCATGAAAAAACCATGTTATATTTGTATAAATCGTAAGGTGTCTGAACTCGACCAATAGCTTCTACTTTGACATAGTGGTCGGGCTTCAATATCACAATCAGCCAACGAGCTACACAGCTGGGATGCTTGTTCCCTCGGGTCCTACTATGCCAGAAAGGTCTGCCGGATAATGGTAAGATGAAAAGCAGTCACCGTTATAGTGTAGACTATACTACACTATGATGGAGGTCTGAGAACGAAGTCGTACTGCTACTAAAGGAAGGGGTATGACACCAGTAAAGTGTTTTCCTTGGATGATCAGCAGTGCCACGTTGATGCTGTCTTCTCCATGAAAGGGGGTGGAAAAGATCGACCCCAAAAATAACACACTCCACCCTGCCCCACGGTTTTTTGCTGCTGACAGTATGGGTTCTCTCTATCCGGAGTTAAGAGTAAACCTCGAAACAAAAACCCACAAAAGGCCAGGTGTAATAAGCCTCAAGCAGATATCTTCTAAGCTCTGCGGTCACACAAATCCTTCTCTCTTTCAGGTATTTTAGGAAGTAATAGCCTTCCACGGTGTGGGTAGCCGGGAAGTGTCAACCGCCCGCACGCTTCCAGTAGTACACAAGACCCACTCACACATAACGTATCCACCTTAACCCTGTCTCCTCACTTGCCTTCACCTCCTAATACTAATACTAGGTCTCATACACTTCACACTATCTCTCACTCTGCAAACACTACCAACGATCAAAGTCATTGAAACCTCATCCCTAGCTTTCTAAGACATCGCCATCGATTTCATGTTAGAACTGTCAATGTCCGGACTCTACGCCAAATCGGACAGCAAGAATCCCTCGCCAAAACTCTAGAATCTCTAGTCATGGATGTTTGTTGCGTCTCTGAGACACGTACACAAAACTTGAGTGTCGTTATTAAACTAACCTCACCTGGCCATAGTAGTGAATCTTCAAAATTCACCTTACGAGTATCGGGAGACTGGCTGGTGCGGAAATAGCACTGAATTGTACAGTAGAAAGAGCTCTCATTGACTGGATATCAGTCAACAGCCGTCTATGAGCTGTTTGACTGAGTTAATCGGTAAGGACCAGGAAGGATAGTGAGAGTAAGTGATCCCTATTCGCATACTTTGCCTACCCACCCACTGACTGTAGTTCAGATGACGCAAATGATGAATTCTATGAGAAGCTGTCAACTTTGCTACAGAGAGCAAAACATTCAGATGTAGTCATAATGGCAGGTGACTTTAACGCCCAAGCTGAGCCAATAAGAGAGGCATCTTGGAGGTGTCTACGAGATCCCATACCAACAAACTGACAACGGAGATCGTCCGTTGCAAGTTTGCTCTGGCCAGCACTAACTACAGGCGTAAGGAGAAATACTATTTCACATTGCGTCCATCGACATCAAACCAACGATGCACAAAGATCACATTGCTATACGCCATCGTTAAACGGGATCGGTAGGAGATTGCCGCTCTTTCTAGAGTACCAGTTTGGCCTCCGAGCACGTGATAGTACGGGTTATTGTATGTCGATGCTTTACTGGTATCAGGAAACAGGCGATAGTAGAGCCTTTGTGTGGTCGATTGGAAGATAAGAGCACTAAGTGAACATTTAGGGAAAAGGTGGTTAAACATTAATCTGAACATCATAGTAATGCACATCCTGAGTAAATCTGGCATGAAATTAAGTCGACTGAAGAAACATCAATAAAGACAGTTGGTAATCTACATCTGAAGGCTAGCAGACGCCACTGGATTTTCACAACGTCATCCAGACTGATCGATGCGAGAAGTCTGGTTTCAGTTGGTCCTAACCACGACGAAGAGCGGGACTCAAACATAAACTGACCAATAATCTTTGCGTCGATCGTCAGCAGTGGTGGGTGAGGAAAGCAAGAGAGCTGGAGAAGGCATAAGCATTGGGTAACACTCGACAACTGTTCAGGCAGATTAAGGATGGTGAAAAGAGAAAGACGACAGTTAGTGAAAGGATTAGTGAAAAGAATGGTACTTCCAGGTCAGGCGATCAGAACGATGGATAGAACACTTTGAAGCTCTCAGCGACGCCTCAATCGTTCAACATCCAACTCGAACCTGAATGGGACGCAAATGTCGGTCCTCCAACTTTTCTTGGCGTTAGGAAGGTTGTATAGAACCATAAACCATGCAAATCAACAGGACCTGACAGTTCGTCACCTGAAACTCTCCAGGATGGAGGTAGGAAGTTGCCAATTAAAACGAGCGGTGCTAGGTAGTGTACGGGGATCAGGAATAGTGACGTCAGACTGGTGTACTTCATTGATTATCCCAGTCTAAATGAAGGGGAAGGTCTTTTTGTGACAGTCATAAGGAGGCTAGTGTGACCAATATTGTGTCTCAGACCCTAGAGTCCATATTTATCCCACGTCTAACTGCAGCCCAAGAACAAAATCAAGAAAACCAGGAAAATTTCAGATACAGATGAGAGTGAACCGAACAGACTATTACCCGACACTTGTCATCTTTCTTGGTCAGAAGGTGGCATTCTACCGTACAGTGTGAGGTGCTGTGGCAGTGTCTAACTGTGTACCGAGCAAGTACATAACGCTAATTAAAGCTCTCTAGTCGAATTCAGGCAGCAGTAATCTAAGGGCTTACAGAGAGTCGTCACCAGAAACAATAACAACTAGTAGTGTCCACCTGGAATGCCCACTGTCACCGCTCCTGTCTAACTACGTCATTGACGTACTGATGGACATAACCCTATGAAAGACTGAATTTGCAAGAATTGACCTAATCCCCGATGGTCATCCAGTTGATTTGGAGTATGTAAACGATACTGTCCTGCCAGGTGAAGACGCTGACAAAATCAAGGGTCTTCTGAACGCGTTGGGCAGAAGTCGGGGTATATTTGGCATGCCTTTCACACCTGTCAAATGTAAAATGAAATGATGCTTCAGGACTCATCTGCCACAACTACTCCCAGTTTATTGATAGGGAGTGAAATGGTGGAATGTGTCGACCACTTCACTTACTTGGGGAGTTGCATCAGCCTACCGAACAGGTTGGTTGCTGATCAAATCTCAGCTCCAATACAGAAGGCCAGTTTAGCATTTGCCAACTTGCATCGTCTATGGCGCCGACTGGAGGGATATTCGACTATCTATCAAACGACAAGTATATTACGCTGCAGTCCGTTCTGTCCTGTTATACGGCTGTAACATGCCTGTTGAAAGTAGAAGACATGAAACGATTAGAGGGTCTTGATCACAGATGTCTTCCTATCATTGCTCGCGTATAGTGGAATCACCGTATGAGCAATATTGAGGTCAGACGAAAAGTACTAGGCAAGATAGACAAGTCAATTGATGAGATTGTGAACCTTAGTTGACTCAGATGGTTCGGACATGTGTTGAACATGCCGAGCCCCCGCCTACTTCGACACACCACGCTAGGAGAAGCTAGATTATTAGGTTGGAAAAGGGTTCAGGGTGGCAAGAACAAGACGTGGCACCAGTCGATGAAGTCTCTTACTGTCGATCTGAGCTGTGCGAGATGCAGACTGTCTGTTTGCGGTCCTAGTTTGAGGTGAACGCTGATGTTTCACGGAAACGTGGCTTAAGTCTGATATAGATGAAAAACCACTGTAGGGAGAATACAATACTGTTGTGAGAATTACAGATTCTAAGGGTGGTGTTGTAGTACTATAATTCGGTAATCTTTGAAATACGTTAGCCAGTACTGTAGCACATAGTAACAAGATGTTTGTGTGCTGTGAAATCCTTCAACGCACATACTTTTGTCATGGGTGTCACAGTCTGATCTCTCAAGCTAATGAAATTATGCTAGAAAATATAGGCAATTGAAGTAGGAATTATAGCACTTTCTAAATTAGTTAACTTCAACGCACTCAGTAGAAACTGAATTGAAATAGCTTCTCTGGGGTCTATTAATTCATTTAATAGTAGGCTGCTACTCTTCGTTATGAAACACACTGATACAACAAGTCTACAGTGCGACGCGTTCCGGTTTTAGCTGATCTTCCTTACTGCATCTTAAACTATCGCCTGAGGCAAATGACACTCAGTTTCAGGATTCTTCTTTTCTTAGCAAACAGTTACCATGCAGTGCTTTCATTTCGGCTCAGTTTGAAAAATGGTGTACTATCATGCTTAACTTCGACCAAATGTATGGCAAGTTAACATAACTGCAATTCAGTAAAATATTCTTTCGGCAAACTATTCAGCTAACATGTGACTGTCTATTGACGATATATATATATATATATATATATATATATATATATATATATATATATATATATATATATATATATATATATATATATATATAATCAGCACAATGACATTCCATACACCTAGGTTAATTACACTCAAACGAAAAACTGTCTTCTGTAGGTAATGAGACAAAGGAGTAAGGCACTGGTCGTAGGGAAAGAATTTGGAATCTTTTCGTTACTACAGATGTTGATTCAGTTTATGTTCAGGTATTGAGGCTACTAACTCATGCGAAAACTTAATAACGAAAACAAAGGTAGTATACCAAGAGGATATTTAGGATTTCATACAGTCGTAAGGAGTTCTGATACCAAGAAACGAACTGAGAGGTATGAAAGGATTCCAGTCCTGATTACGTATGGGGTTCACTGGGAATGGCTGAAGTCTATCGCTAAGCTTTTGTCATAGTTTTTCTAATGATCTTAAAGAGCACAAAACGACTATCAGCGGTAAAATCCTACAAATGGAACCAGTGCTTAATGAGGTCATTCTAAGACCACTTCTAAACTTAAGCCCCTGCACTTCAAGCTAACTAGGTGAGCTCCACTATAACATATTACCAGCATTTACAAACCACTGTTAAACCACTAAACTATGTAGTTACCAAATCAGTCACAGCTGCTGAAGTGTTGGAAACATGCAAAGATTACTTCAGCATGTAAAACTGGTCACGGGCATACAGTAAGGAAATATTATCCTGACCACTATAGTTTTCAACACCGGAAAAGATTATACATAGTGCTGTTCACACACAGGTAACGTGATTTTAGCTTCAGTATAATGTGGTTTTCAAGCTGGTAAGTCTTACTTGAGTAACTCCGCTACAGAAAGATAGGATCGGGCTGCTAGTATAGGTATAAATATAACAGCTGAGGTTACACTAGTCGATTTTCGGAATTCGACCTTTCATAAAGCTGGAAAGGTTTAAAAATGATGGTAAGGTTAGGGACCGAATTAGGAACTCCCTTAATAATAGAAGGCAGAGAACAAAAAGGATTTTGTCCTTTTAGAGATTATTGGTAAATGGTAATTCCTAAAGTAATATGAAGGCTTACCTCCCTTCCTGATATACGTAAATGAGATATCGAATACAGTTGTATGCTGTTGGCAGGCTGTCGAAGAGCCGTTTGGAGTGAGACGGGTAGAATATTCTTTAGATGACTTGAATGACCAGGCAGACTAACATAAGTGGTCCGTCAAAATTAATCCCACTGAGGGCATAAAAATACGGATAACACAACCAATAATATAATCACCCAATAAATGCTGTACCCCGACTAGAATTTTTCGAATATAAGGGCTTGAATGTCTTCGTGAGTCATAACTCTAGAGAACTAAAGCCAATTTCAAAGTGGAGGCTGTATGTTTCTGAATATTATGATCATTGGGGCAGACCTTTCACAATGATGTGTGTGGGAGCTAAGCAGCAGGTCCCTGTTCAAAATTCGGTGCAGACAATTAAACAGCTACAGAGGGAGAACAAAGGTGAAAAAAAGACTCCGGCTTTACTTGCGAAGAGCGACTTCTTTCATTCTCCCAACCTAAAGTAACCACACACTAGCATACTGCACCTCAAATAACGACTGCCCTGACAATGTTTTAGCTTTTTCTTAATAAAGCTTTTCATGTGGAAGGATACCAGCAGGAAATTTAACAGCAGAGCAAGTAGTATTATAACCTTCGGTCAACGCATTCAAGGTAAAACTAGAACTTCACACAGCTATCTTCTGCAAGGATTAACAATTCTTATTACTGAAAACCGGAAAAAACTGTAACTGCACAGTCCGCGCATCATATGACTTAGTCCTGGAGTCACGAACCAGTGTATCAGTACCAGAGAACCATATATGCATACACACATGTTTTAGCTCGAATTCATCATTAGAAACAAACATCTACGAAGGCAAATGCCAAAAACACCAGTAAAATATGAACCAGGACATAGCAGAAATAAAAATTTCAAACCAGACCTTTTCTCTAGCATTTTCGTATAAAAACTGACTTTTCCGTCCCAATTCTTCAAAATCAGATACAAGTACAAGGAAATCTGTCCGGGCTGGTCGCAAATTATGGTGACTTTTTAGGTGAGTCAATAGTCTATTTTCAGCATCAATTAACTGCGACTTTAACGATGATATGTTCTTTTCCATAGCTTAGGTGGCAGACAAGAGATGAAAGAATGATTACCAGCCGATATATGCCTGAAGCAATGGAATATATTCAATAGTACCCTCGACTTTTTTAGGAGGCGTTGCGCACTTGAAGGTCACTGAGCTGCAACCCCATTGGTGCGTTGAGTTCATTGGTGAGTTGAGTTCACATACCTATCCGTTCGTACAGTCGTTGCACCTTGGTGTCTGAGCTGACTTTCATATTTCCTCTCAATGCCTGATAGTTTTCAGTTGACAGTTAGTGGAGAAGCTGGTCCAGTTGTTCCCGTTGATGTGGGATGTCCATTCAAGGATAAAGCGTTATCCCAGCCATTCACCAGTCCTGAAAACTCAGTCATACTTGAAAGAGGATATGACTTATACCTTTGTAATTGTGTTTTAGACAGCATATGCATACCGAGTATGTTGTAATTCAAGTTCGAAGTACCGCTTCGTCAGATGTTCGCACATATGGTCGTTAGTGGAATACCTGCAGCTCTGATCCAAACTCTCAAACACATATGGTGTCATATGACACCGTGTATGATGTACAGAATGCTGAAGTACATCCCGAATATCACCCACAGTTTGATGTAGCGCACCATTCTCTGAAACTTGGTTCGATTCTGAGAAATATAATAAAAATATAAAAAAAGTTGGTGACAGTGAAATCCATTTACATCCGTTCCTTTTAGATGTTAGAGGTTAGTAAGCAGAGGTGGTAGTGTCATCCTTTCCGTCAAGAATACCTCAACTGTGAGAGCCATAAAAACGGTTGCACTCGAAAATGGGACATGTGAAATGCAGAGTCACCAACTAAGATTAAAAGGATAAGGTGTTAAAGTAATCATAGTTCATCAAAGCCCTGAATATACGGCTGACCTGCCGGACAGATAACTGCCGATGCCTTTTACGCGCCATCAGTTGACTGGGACAGACTGACAAGAGAAGTATTTTTGTATATCGCATGTAACTTTATTCAACTTTCCTGGCGAGTACTATGTGTACCATTACCAAGTTAATACTGAAACTTATTTTGTTTACATACGTTGGACAGCAAACAACCAAATTAATTAATTAATTTCAAATGCTGCGGCCTGCAACATTCTGGCCAACCATAGGTGATATTCTTCGGTGTTATCCGCTTCGCGCTGGAACGTGTTTGGAACTAATACCGTTGCGCACACTGCAACCACAACAGCGGTCGCTGACAAAAGTATCACGTAACTTGTTTGATCGTAGGTTAGTGGAAACACAAGCTTCCCTGAGTCTTATCCAGGACATTAAAGCAGCAAGAAGATGCTGTAGCGTCACACACTCTACCAAAATCAATAGCCTAGGGTTTGATGACTTTCGACATCGATGCTGACCTTGATAGTTTAACTGGACTCGCTAAGCTGAAGGCAACCGGTCAAGCATCCTCGCCATTTGGCACGCTGTCGTGTTATGTTGCACTGCTCGCATTCGACTCTCTAGCCACTTAGTTGGAACGCATCGGTATCTTGGCACAACCATCAAAATACACTATTCCATCCGACTACGCTAACGTGTTCTTCCTTGGTCTCTCACTCATGGGTAAATAACAAGTGCGAGTAATTGGTGATTGGTCATCGCGTCTGTCAAGTTCGCACCAGGGCAAATCCTTCAATGCTATCATCAGAATGCTCCATCAGTTCTAAAATTGGTATCCTCGCACATAGATGATGTATGCTTCATCTGGCACGTTGCACCCCATCGTACTGGGATCATCTCCCGATTCACAGCAGTAGTCTTTTGCTACATCGATGCCTAAGCTACACCCCATTTATGGCAGCTACCAAGTTAGCGACCTCTTCGAAGTGTTGGATGGTCAATCCAGAGGCCTCAATAGGGGCTGCATAGTGCTACTTCAGACAGTTATGTGCATGAGTGACTCAACCGTTCATTCTGTGAACCTTCCGAAGGAGACGGAAGCATTGTCTTCCTTGGATAAACCGTGAAATCCGAATCCTGCTATGATGCAAGGTAAACTGTTGGAGCCTTGTCAGTTACCTTGGCTTTCTTGAGATGATGAAGCACTAAATATAAGGCCAAAATAAATGTATAACTGCCATCCACACTTCTGAAATGCACTTTGAAACACGTCTTGCTGAGGCTGAACCGCGACATCCAAAGAAGTTATTTCCTAATATGAACAGCAGAAATAAGACGCATCGCGGTTTACCCACCATAATCAAAAGGGCAGAAGATGGCTGCTTGCTTGAAGATGATGAAGAAAAAGCGATGGCTACAGCTGGCTATTTCGGTGGAGTCTTTACGCAAGAACCTTCTGTGGACACGAACTCAAAGGTAGAAGCGCCGAAGTCCAACAGAACAAACTCTGTGGACATGAACTTCAATGACGTACGTGATGCACTGTGTTGCCCACTAAAAGTGGTTGTCTGCACCCTGATAACTTTCATTAGGAGTGGAAGCCTACTCTGTCCAGTCCATTAACTCTACTTACATAAACCTGCCGATTATCTATGGTCAACGAAGTTGTACAAGCCAAAATCGTCGAATCGGTACAAGCAGAGGGAAAGAGCAAACGAAAGGCAATAAAACGCAGATAGAAAAAGCTAGAGCTACGCAATAAAAACTACCCTTTGAAAACACTGAGAACTGCAGTCAACAGGATCATATCGTTAACATTTGTTGTCATGACTAATATCTTTAGTACTTTTGTAAGTCACGTCGTGTAATGATTCAAAAACTAGTGTCAATGTTGTTTAACGCCTTTACAAATGAACGCTCGGTCCTGGTTGCACTCACTACGGATGATAATAATAATACATTTCATACAGCGTGCCAGTACAAAATTTCTGGACAGTGTGTAGAGGCGACTGTGCACATTCATCTTAAAAAAGTATCTTCGGTTGAGTAGGGCTTTAGTTACATCATAAAAGGATGCGGAAAGCATACATGCAGGGATAGGTCGAGGCAACGGTTAGAGTTGTGTTGGCAGGGTGAAAATAGACAAGAAAGCGCACGAAATGAAGTCAGTTGTAATCATCAGCATTTGCGGACCAAAGTTTCACTGGTGATTTGCGGAAAGAAGGCTCGAGCAGCGAGTGGTTATGACTTGGCTACCCCGTACTACGTACCGGCATCTGAGCGAAGCCAACATCACTTTGTAGCATCTGTCTGTCAGGCAATCCTCTGCTAAAGCAGTTCGTTCTCTCCCGTTTTGCGTTTATATTCAGTGCTATTTGTGTTTTCCTGCTATCTTTATGAAAAACAGCTGTACTAGTCGCTGTTCTGTTCGTCAGACAAGGGCGGTTCTCATATATCAACACCATCAGATCCGTTAGGTAGTAGTCGCCGACCCCTTTCTTATAGGATGTTAGCGCCTGAGTAACGATTATTTCCAAAATAGTTTGCACAACAATACAACCTTCACTGTGGTGGTTGTTAATTTTCTCTGTTTTTCTGTCAGTCTCCTGCTCTTACTGAAAGTTATCATGGTGTAGATAACTACTTTTAAAAGGTAACCCAGAGTACCACGTCCGTAGCAACTTGAAAGTCCAAGTTAAGGAAATGCATTTGTGGGCGGTCAGAGATAAGGTGAGGCGCACTTTTCAGCAATGCGTAGAAGGATTACACTCCATATATATATATATATATATATATATATATATATATATATATATATATCAGTGCATATGAAGATAGATGGACAGACATAGGTGGATGAATGACTGAGTGGATAGATAGATTGACTGATTGACTGACTGACTTGTTGGTTGCCCGATTATTTGACAGGGGCAGCAAGAGACTCTTAGTTCATTATATGAGGGTGATGCGTAGTTGATGATGAGGTCAGTTAATCCTCTAATTGGACAAGTAAAATGGTAGCAAAATTGTAGCCAATAAATATTGGAAACGATTATTTACTAGCTTCATTTGTGTAGATAACGACACAATTCATCACATTCTTATGCCTTTTTAGTGCGAGTAGGCCTTATAACTGTTGGTGTCAGTCATGTTGTAATCAAAACGGAATTTAGGAATATTTCCCAAACGTACATATCAAGATCCAATCTTTTGTATTTCCCTACCACAAATTTGTGCCCAGGAACTTTGGCCAAGAAGGTGACGTGGGCTGAAGATAAATCATTTCAAACTGCGCTTGAGGAATTCCCCAAGATTTTCGACCATGCCAACCACTGTTTACTGTGCTCAAAATTTCGAGCAGTAACTTTAATCTGTTCTTTCTTAGTGGGACCCCTTAAGTGTTTTGAAAATGGCTTATTGGCCAGGAAGCTTGCTTTGTCTCAAGGGTTAGCAATCTCAAGTATTCAAACCCGGCCCTTTGTCGTTTATGACTTTCGGTCACGGCCTTTCGTGTTTCATTCACTGCTTTCTGTAGTTAACCAAAATATTTGAATGGAGACAGATATGTTTATGAGTCGAATTCTCTCTCAGGGGAATCTGAGTGAACTCCGATTAAACTTGAAGTTATTTATTACTATCTAACTCAAGCTAATGTAGCTCAGTAATAATGAGAGATGGAACTAAAAAGATCTCCTTTTCTGAGGGTTAGACTCCAGTATTACAGCTTTCTGTTGCCAAGTATCTGCGAATTTACGTTTTGGCCCACTCTCGTCTCTGTTAAGGACTTTAGGTGGCTTCTCATCAGAACTGCACAATGCCGTGCAAAATATATTGTGTATCCAGCAACATCGCTTGACGAGATCACTAGTTATGTCATCACTCCTTGGAAGTGACATTTCTTTCGTAGAAGAGATTCAGAGACCAACCACGAAAAATCTGACTAGACATAGACGTAAACTACATATATTCAGCTAGGTACACTGTGTATTAAATCTTCAACTTACAGAAAGATTCGATGGGGTTGGTTACAGCATATCTGATCACCGGCAAACGTATCCATCCCGGCAAACCACTTATGAGGCTTTGCACTATCTTCTTTGGGTTAAACACAAGAGTTTTCGCCGGATAAATCGTACTTACTTTCTCGC